CCTTTCAATTGAACGTAGCATTGAGCTATCTTGTGTGGAATTAAATGAGATGATAGTAGTATGCGTATACAGACCCCCTCTAGGTAACTTTAACATTTTTGAATCTGTGATGGAGGATGTACTGAAAAAGTTAAAGTCGAAAAATAAGTTTTTGGTTGTTTGCGGTGACTTTAATATTAATATTCTTGAACAAAATTCAATGTCAGTACGTATAATATCATTATTTAAATGTTTTAATTTGACCCATCATTTTTTGAGCCTACTAGGGTGACATCACATTCAGCAACTTGTTTGGATAACGTATTTACAGATAGTACTCCTGATAATAAATCCATTTTTAATAGTATTACATCTGACCATTATGGCTTAAAAATACAATATAAAATAGATGTAACAAATGAATCTAAAGTGATTGAATTGAGACCACAGAAAACCGGTTAGAATTTTTTCAAAAAAACATTGACTATAGTATTTCTCATATCCCATGGACACATGATGATCCTGATATTCTTTTTGGGGATCTTTTTAATCTAATAAGAAATGAATTTGATAAGGTTTTTCCCTTAAAAACTACGAAACTTACTCCGAAGTTACAGTTCTGTGACTGGGCTACGACTGGTATCTATAAAAGTAGAAACAAACTTTATGAATTGTATCATCTAAGAAAATATAATCATTCACAAGGTTTTATTGATTACGTTAAATGTTATTCTAAAACCTTTAAAAAGGTATGTGCAACAGCCAAATCTAATTTTATTAAAAATAAAATATGTAAGTCGAATAATAAAATCAAAACAACGTGGAATGTTATAAATCGTGAAACAGGCAAAGAAAGGTCACGTGACGATATTGTTGAACTTAAGTCGAATAACATTTTAATAAAATCTAAACAACATATCGCTAATATTTTTGATGAATATTTCGTTAATATTCCTTTGGTGGCTACATCTAATTTGAGTTCTTCATCGGTGGCTGCCAAGACTTTGCTCGAGAAATATGTACCTAGGTGTGATAACGTGTTTCAGTTCAGACATATTAATTTTATTGATGTTATTAAGTGTTTTAAATCTCTTAAACAAAAAAATACAAGTGATTTATGGGGTATTTCTACTAAAGTTATTAAAAGTATTATACCCGTTATTGCTCCTTATCTAGTTGATATATTTAATAACTGTATTGATCAAGGAGTATTTCCGGATTTAATGAAATACAGTAAAGTTATACCTCTTTTTAAATCAGGAAATAGAAATGACCCTGGAAACTATAGGCCTATATCAATATTACCGGTTCTTAGTAAAATATTTGAAAGAATTATTCTGGAACAATTGATGCCTCATTTCAACCTTAATAAACTTTTGCATAGGAAACAATTTGGTATTACTAGAGGTAGATCTACTACTGATGCGAGTGTTGCACTTGTAAGGAGTATATTGGAGGCTTGGGAGAGGTCGCAGAATGTCCTTGGAGTGTTCTGCGACTTATCCAAAGCTTTTGATTGCGTTGATCATCACACGCTGTTATTGAAATTGAGTCATTATGGAGTCAAAGGTACTGCATATAAATTGATACAGTCGTACCTCAGTTCCAGAATACAAACTGTAGAGGTAAATGGTGTTAGATCATCTGGATCTCATGTGGAAATGGGCGTTCCCCAGGGTTCAATTTTAGGTCCCTTCCTGTTTCTAATATATGTAAATGATTTGCCATTTTTTGTGGAAAATTTGTGTGAGATTGTATTATTTGCTGATGACACATCTTTATTATTTAACGTTGACAGGCGCAAAAACAACTATGACGATGTAAATAATGCTCTCTCGCAAGTTCTGCAATGGTTTAATGTCAATAATCTAAAGCTAAATGCTTATAAAACCAAGTGTATTCAATTTTCCTTACCTAATGTAAAAGTTGAGCATATTGGAATTAAATTAAATAATGAAAAATTAGATTTAGTAGACTCGATTCTTGGGTATAACGATAGACTCAAAACTGCAATGGAGTCATCACATTACGCTTTTGGCTGGTAAACTTAGTTCAGCAGCTTATGCCATAAGAAAGATAAGACAACTTACTGATATAGATACTGCCAGGACTGTATATTTTAGTTACTTTCATAGTGTCTTATCATACGACATTTTACTCTGGGGAACAGCAGCTGATATTGAAAGTATTTTCATTTTACAAAAAAGAGCTGTGCGATCTATTTATCAATTGAGTAGCCGAACATCTCTTAGAGAAAAAATTAAAGAAATTGGAATTTTGACTGTTGCTTCTCAATTCATTTACAATTGCATACTCCTCGTTAAAAATAATATCAATTTGTATACCAAACACAGTAACGTACACAATTTTAATACTAGGAATAGAAACAAGCTTGCATTGCCAGCCTACAGGTTACAGAAGCTTTACCGATCTTTTATGGGTCAAGGTATACATTTTTACAATAAAATTCCTGATGCTGCTCTTGAGTTACCCATAAATGAGTTCAAATGTCACATTAAAAGTTGTTTAGTTAAGAAAGGCTATTATACTATTAAAGAATACTTGAATGACAAAACTGCATGGCTGTAACTGCAAAATTGTTTTGTATTTGTTTGCAGTGTCGTACAGATAAATTACCTTAACTCTAAGTAACCATTTTGCAGATTGGTTTTAGTGGTTATGGGTAGTCATGCTCTCTTAAAAATCTCTTCGGCGGGGTCGTGTGAGGCGGGTCGTTGCGTTCCCTAAAATATGGTTGAGCGAAGCGATGGCTGGTTCATGCGTCATGCTCGTGAACGGGTGCTGCCAGCGGAGATGAGTCTGCTCTATACTACTTTATTATTGTAATGATAATTATTATTAAATTTTGATTGTATTTTACATTACACAACTTGTATTTATACTGTATGACACAGCAATCAAAATGTAAGTGAACATATATTATTTCTCTGATAAAGATTTAATGGCGGTGTGGATTCTGGTATGTTTTTCTAGACCTGAACTTGGTTTTGCAGCGGTGTATCCTTGTCATACTCTATACAGACTGAAAGGGGGGGACTGATGTTGGACTGGTTTTGGGTTGGGAGAGTATTGCCAGAGTCGACAACAGTGTTTAGGTAATCACATGCATGTGTCCTGCCGTTGTGTTTATAGTTTGTTATAATAATGTACACTGGTACCTATATGTATTTTTTTTTTCTAATTTAGTAACATAGTATCCATGTGTGGTTATGAGTAGTCATGCTCTCTTAAAAATCTCTTCGGTGGTGTCGTGTGAGGCGGGTAGTTGCGTTCCCTAAAAAATGGTTGAGCGAAGCGATGGCTGGTTCATGCGTCATGCTCGTGAACGGGTGCTGCCAGCGGAGATGAGTCTGCTCTTAATTCACTGGGTACTACTATTAATCGTTGTTCTAAACTTTAATCGTTCATTATTATTATTTTGTTTTTGCCTAAACGGTAGGACACGTCATTCCTAAACTTTGTTAAACCCTTTTTTTTTACATATTTTAATTTTTTATTTTATAGTCATAATTTTTATATTATTTGCATTTTTTTTTGTTTGTAATGAAAAGTGACTTTATGAGTTACCTCATATTGAAGTCATTTTTCAATTTGACGACTCTGTATATAATACAGGGAGAAAAAAACAGCCCTTGCTGAGTTTCTTGCCGGTTCTTCTCAGTACAAGGTCTCCCGCCGTAGATTTGCGAACCGATGGCGTAGCTTTTCGACATTCACAAGTGCTTGTAACAGCCTAGACTGAATAAACGATATTGAATTTTGAATTTTTTGAATTTTGAATACGCTGACGATATTGTGTTGTATACTTCTAACAGGAGTTTGTTGCAAGCAGAGTCTACTTTAAACGAAGCCTTACAAAATCTTTATTACAAAATCAAACTTAAACTAGACGTTAATCCTTCCAAAAGTTCCGTAATGATATTTAATAAAAAAATGATTATTATGATTCTGTAAATATTGTGTATTGCTCTGTAAATATAGATGTTGTAGAAGTTAAAAAAATTCTTAGTATAATATTACATACTAAGTTAAATTTTCATTTTCATGTACATAATGTTATAAATAAAATGCAAAGATCTGTAAATATAATGCGTCATTTAGCAAGTGTAACATGGGGAATGGACCCAAAAATTTTAAATATTGTTTTCAAGTCTATAGTTAGAAGTCATTACGACTACGGACTTACAATCTATGGGAAATATCTTTCTTCAACATTGTATAATAAAATAGGTGTAATGCAAAATAAGGGATTGAGAATAATAACCGGAGCCTTCTGCTCCACACCAATATATTCCTTGCAAATTGAATCAGGTATTCCGCCTATTTTAGCAAGAATGAGATACCTCACAGAAAAGTCACGTGTAAAAATTTTAGCAAATAAGATGTACATTAATTTATATAGTTCTAACAATTATTACTAATGTGAGCATATAAGGGAATTAGATTTTTTATGTCGACACATAGTTCGAAAAGAAACATGGGAACTCAGTACAATAGACATTCAAACCACTGTTCCTCGTGTTTCCTCTCACAGAGTCAATAATAATTCTGAGTTTTTGCACTTTATTAATACTAAGAAATCAGGATATACTAACATTTACACTGATGGGTCGAAAACAGAAGAAGTAACTAAGGCAGCATACTATGATTCGGAAGCTAAATTTGGAAGATGTTTTACACTGGATAACAATTCGTCAATATTTACAGCAGAGGCCTACGCCATAAATACCGCATTGCAATATATTCGAGGAAACAGAAATTCTCGATTTTTTTTAATTGTAACTGATTCACTAAGTGTGCTTACCTGTCTGGAAAATGTTAAAATTTCCTATAAAAACTAGCTGACCCAGCGAACTTCGTACCGCCCTAAAAAAAATAGGGGTTGTCCAGCGGACAAAATTGTGAATCTAAACCATTCTCAGATCCCCTTGAACATACACAAAAAATTTCATCAAAATCGGTCCAGTCGTTTAAGAGAAGTTCAGTGACATACACACTTACAGAAGAATTATATATATAAAGATAACACTTACATTACCAGAATAAGAGAAATGATATTGGAATTAGAAAAAGAAGACAAAGTAATTGAATTTATATGGGTACCGTCGCACTCAGGAATAACAGGCAATGAAATAGTTGATAAATTTATGAAGATTCAACATCCAAGCTTTATTAATTCGCAACATTACACTCCTCCAGTACTTCTAACTGATTACGGTTCGTTATTAAAAATTCGAATGTTCGACTATTGGAATAAAGACTGGGAAACCACCAAAGTTTTTAAAGGAAATTGGTATGCCAAAATACAAAAAATAATTCCTCGCAAACCCTGGTATTTTAAGGGAAAGTCACCGAGTAGAAAATTTATTACCACTTTAAACAGACTCAGACTTGGACATGGAAAATTTGCAGAACATTTGAAAAGACTGAAGATGACGTCTTCAGACAAGTGTGAATATTGTGAGGTAGCTGTGGCTACATTGGATCATTTGATACTATTTTGTCCTGCTTTTAATATTCAAAGAATACTCCTTATAGATGGCTTTGGATGGATTTACAAACATGAAGAAATTCCCCGCCTCTTGCCATCTCTATTAGAAAACGAAGATACATATTAACACCTTTACACCTACATTACTTCTACTTTTATAAACATATGAAGAGAAACTTAGAATCAATGAAGACTGTTACTAATGTATAGGCTGTATGGACTTGTCCAAAGCCGCTTAATTTCTAAATAAAAAAAAAACACAACAACAATCAGCTTCTGTGCCTGTCTGATGATGATCTGACCTCATATTTGCGATTGAATTCTACCTGCTTTGAACTAATAAGTTAGAAAATATCTTTTTTTTGTTTAGAATAGTTTCTATCATTCTTAGTGAACCCGTTTTTACCTCTCTACAAAACTTTATCTATAACCTGTGTTGTGTGCTAGAATGTCTCATACAATTTTATCTTGAGTATTCCATCTGTATGTGATAAATTATTCATTTATATTTTGTTAATAGAAGTTGTTTAAAAACATCTTACTTTGGTGCACATCAAATGGCAGGTTATTATTCCAGGTATATTATTTTAAATAACCTAAGATTAAAGAATACTGTTTTGAATCAATCAAAAGTTAAATTAACACTATCTTTTAATATAATGATCTGGTTCTTTAGGTTGTCATAGATTTAATTAAGTTATACTTTTAGTAAATGATGTTCAAGCCAGTGGATATGAGATAATTTTTCTGAGACCTATAAGCATGTAGGAAACTATACCATGGACACTATTTACTTTTATAATTATGTTTACTTCTCATATGTTGTTTAAAGATTTACAGAGCCACAAGATTAGAGTAGCTATGGATACACATTGGGTACTGGACTGTAGGTCATCGGTATGGCCATATTCACTTAACAACAATATCTTTGGTTTTTATTAAGTCTGAGTTCACAGAAATGTTCTGTAATAACAATTACATTTATAAATGTGATTTTTTGTATAAAGTTTTATTTCAGGATTGCTTGATGTGTTTTTACTGGCTTTGTTGCTGTTTGGCAAATCAGTGTTGTTGGATATACCTTCATAATTTATAGATGCTTTATATCTTGTTCTTTTCTTTTTGAGTGGTTTTAGTAAATTATTGCTAAGATTTATTACTCAACGATAGCAATATGAATATATATTGTTTATTTTTTTCTTTGTGTATGTGCATGTTTATATTTTATTATTTCTCTTGAAGGAGATCTGGTATATTAAAACAGTTTCCGATGTGATATTTAATTATAAATAATATTAATAGACAATAAATCCCAAGAAACAATCTTACAATCAATGTTTTCCTTTTTGTTTTAGGTCTGAAATCCTAGAAAATATCCAAAAAAAGAAGGATCAAGAGAAAGATCCACAAACTCCCGGTTACCAACAATCATTATCTAAAGCAACAGACAAGCCTGTTCCTGCAACAGAGCAGAATGTTACTGCTTCTGTAACTCAGCATGTGGTCTCTCAACAACTTCTATCTCCGACTCATACACAAGGTTCACCTGCCCAAGCAAAGGATGACTCCAAAGATAAAACTATAAAGGTTGCAAATTCAACTACTATTACTCTAATTGAAAACGGTAATGTCAATGGTGACAAGGATAAAGACAATTACCCCAAAAATTATTTTACATTAGAGCCAAAAAACGAAAAGAAAGATGACTCCAACAAAAACAGTATTACGATAACTCGGACAGTTTCTAAACCACTGCCTGGGAGTCAGTCTGATAATACTAAAGCTGCATTAAAGCCTGTGAAGCGGCCACTGCAGTGTTTAGAAACCTTGGCTGAAAAGGCTGGCATTACTTTTGAGGATAAATACGAAGCTGCAAATACTCTACTAGCTTTGGATAAACAAAATAGTACTTTCAGGAGGCCAGATTTAAAGCAGCCTAAAACTGAAGTAGTAGATAATCAAAATTCTAGTGAAGAATATAGATATAGAAATCACAAAGAAGAGGATGATAAGCTACAGGTTTGTTATCAAATATATATTCTTTTTTAAGTAATAAAAAGTGTTTAACATTATTATATATTTTTTTTTATATGGATAGTTATTTGATGAGACATTGAATAAATTGAGCATAAGGTATTTGTAGTACCGGCCTAATAATACCTTCTGGTCAATTAATTCAATGTTGAGAGTAATATTACAGTATTAAAAGGAAATTTAAATTTTGTGTCTGTATATTTCTACCAGATTCAACAACAGATAATTCAGCATCAGCAACAACAGCAATTGCAGCAGCTACAACAACAACAAATTCAACAGCTCCAGCAACAACAGTTGCAGCAGTTGCAACAGCAAGCCTTGCAAAGACAGCACCAACAGGCTATACAACAGCATATTAAAAATCAACAGGATCAACAAGAACTTGTAAGTGCTGTTTTTAAATTGATTTTGGTTTTGATTATTAATTTTTATAAATAACTAGCAGTAATAATAATAAGGGTTGGTGGTAAAACGATGAAAATTTAGGGTTGTATGTATTTTTGTATGATGCATCATAAAAAAATAAAAACAAAAAATTTTATCCTACTGAATATGCATATAAAATTTCACAAAAATCGGTCGAAATGTTTCGGAGTAGTGCAATTTCGCACACCGTGACACGAGAATTTTATATATGGGATTATATTTTTTATGATTTTTCACATTCAAGAACATGAAAAGCAAAAAGATAAAGTATACATAGTAGGCAGATTAGGTCGCTTGTTTACGAGATGGTTTTCCGCTGGGTCTAGGTACTGTTTTAAGCAATCCAGTGAAGAAATCTTCTTATTAACAAGCGCCCTTATTGATAAACAACAATCTCTTTAAGGTAATCTATTTGTTTTTTAATAATCAAAAATATATATTATTAGTTGCAGAAACAGTTTCAGCAGCATCAGCAGCAGCAACAGCAACAACAACAGCATCAGCAACAACAGCAGCAGCAACAACAACAACAACAACAGCAGCAGCAACAACAACAGCAGCAGCAACAACAACAACAGCAGCAACAACAACAACAACAACAGCAGCAGCAACAACAACAGCAGCAACAACAACAGCAGCAACAACAACAACAACAGCAGCAACAAAAATCTGAGTTGCAACAGCAAATACAAACAGATCTTCAGCAGCAAAAGTTTTTGCAGGTTAGATTATGGTTTAAAAAAATATTAAAAATGAATCCAATTTCATCTAAATAGAAATTCTAGAGAGAAAAAATTGTACACGACAATTTTTACACATTTTTTTCATGATTGCTGTCTTCTATGTAGTATTAGTAATTTAACTCTTATAATATTTAACATAATTGAAAAAAAAATTCCGATAATAATAATAAATTCTTTATTTATTTCTTCACATAAGTAGAAAAAAGAAACATTTACAATAAAGTGGTTAATTATAATATTTCATTACATAATGTGAAGACTGGTGCTTGCAATAGGATACACCGGTTCTACAAGACACCAGGCCTCCACTCCCAAAACTACATGAACAGAGCAAGCCACCTTTGTACTATTTATGTGATTAATGTATTTATTAATAAATAGTAAAAAATATAACAAAACAAGGTTTATCTATGTGATAATTTCAAGAGTTAAGCGCGAAATATGTCAAAAATACAACATTGAACGTCGCACATGAACTCACCCACAGTATAACTTGTCGCACATCACATGGTAGCGTTTTACCCCTCGAATTCTGAGATCGATATCAGCCACCGAACTTCGGCATAGAAATTTAGGGCCTTTGAATAATGCATCCGTTGCGGAAACACTATAAACCACAAATTGAGCAGCATGACAATTAGGTAAAAAAATATTACACTTTTTGGTAGTCGTGCAAAAAATCAACTTACAAGTGTCGCGAAACTATGTAATGAATATGGCCCGTCTTTGTCGCTTTCACGGGTCCGGATTTTATATGTCAATTGTTAATAATATAATTTGCCTTAAAATTAGCGCCACTGCATTGGTGATGGGGCAAACAATGACTTGATATAGTCGCTTCTTATTGGTGTTTTTAGTAAACAATGTAATGTTACGTTTACTCTCATTTAACAACTTACCGAACCTACTTTTGGCAGTTGATGCTTTATATCTTAATTTTTGAACAGGTCACAGTTGCGTCGCTCGTTACGTCGATTCGTCGTCTGTGATTATTATAACAAATTCCGTGCAAATTAGTGTCAGATTTTTGAAAATCGACGGTCGCAAGTTGGTTGCAAGCGAGTTGTCCAAACACTGGTTTTGAAAGTTAAGAAGGCCTTTCTTGAGTTTTCAAGTATACAAACTATAGTCAACCGCCCTCGCTTTGCCTTGGTAATGACTATGGTTCTAGGCTAGGCTAGGCTTGTATTATACAGATAAACCATACATTCAAAAGTTAAGGTACAATTCCGCAATGCGCTGCAGGCGACAACCGCAGACGACACTGAGGCTAGCGTCTGCGGCGGCACTACTAGTTTCTATGAATCTATGAAAGTGATTCCGAGCGCGGCGACATGCCGCGGCTGCACAATGCATATAATGCACGGTCAGCCGCAGGCGCTAGCCTCAGTGTCGCCTGCGGTTGTCGCCTGCAGCCCATTGCGGAATTGTACCTTTAGTTAACTAAATTCGTCCTACTTCTATTGCGTCGTTATTCGTCGTCTTCTTAATACACAATGTACTAAAAAACGATATCGCAATAACACATCTGATATTATCGACCAATAATAACGCGCATATGAGGTGGGAGGCTTTGTTCTTGTTTGTTTTCCGATTCACTCACCAAAACGCATGTTAGCGATATACTGCTGCCATTTGGCAATAAGGCAAATACGCATAGCCATCTAAAGTGTCAGTATAAAATAAAACCTGCCTTTGTCTATAATTGAAATGTGATTCAATAAGTAAATGGTTAATTTTACCGTTGTTCACGTAGGTCGTCAACAACCAGCCAGTGCACACGCAGCAGTTTAACGTGCCGGGCATTGGGGAGATCAACCTCAGTTTCTTGGCGACACCACAGAACAGCGTCAACCTCCTGTTCGACAAGAACCAGAAAACAGGCATGAGCGGCGAGATCAAATCGCAACAAGTGAGTTACCAAAGTGGTAAATGCATGATTAAGTTCAGTTAACTAGATTTAGGTACCTATAATATGATGTCGACAGATCCTGTATTAAGTTACAATTATCATCATCATCACCGGCCTATTCATTAATAGGCCCACACTGCTGGGACACAGGCCTTCCCTATGAATGGCATTAGGGAGACTGGGCCGTCACCCAACACGCGGAGTCAGTGCAGATTGGTGAGTGCTAACGACTGCAGATGCAGCCGGGACCAACGGCTTAAAGTGACTTCCGAGGCATGGAGGAGCTAGAGATAATAACTTTTTCACCCATCCTATGACCGACCATTACGAAAGTTGCTAAACTTTCACGATTGCAGGCCGAATGCACTAACCACCTGCGTCATTGAGTTCCTCCTTAAGTTACAATACCTGTAATATTCTGAAGGCCATTCCCGGTTTAGGCCTTGTCCAATACAAGGGATATCACTTTGTGCTTGCAGTGTTGCCATAATGCCATAAAATTAACCTTGGTTGTTCTATTATTGACTATGTAATCACATGAAAATTATTTTTACTTTTGATTGGAAATACATATGAGGTATGAATACTTTTATGTGTCATGCTGGCAATATCTGTTTATGGATACATACTACTATTGTATACTGTATATATATTTTTTTATATTTGGTTGGTTAAAGTTACCGATCTGTCTCTAAAGTCTGAAGTAGCCTGTCACAAAATCAGATTTTAATCACATACCTTATAAGAGTGTTCTATTCTTTCTTTTTTTTTTAATGAAGGGTAATGGGCTTCATTTATATTCATTGTGGTGTCGATTCAGACTTGATTGTCTAAACCTTAAATTGAATTTTACAACAGTGTACCCTTGTCATTCTCTGTACAGAATGAAAGGGAGAGACTGATGTTAAATTTAAGTTTACGTATAGAGAATCATCTCAGGCACGACAGGAATATCTATTTATTACAATTATCGAATTTTATTATTCTTTGTTTTTACAAAAATCTACTTCGTTATAATAAATAGTTCATCACAACTATTAGCGTTTTATACCTGAAAACCTCACAATTCTCTTAAAAGTATTGTAAATATTCCGTTCGTATGTATTCTCATAGATAGTAGACGGTCAGAGCCAAGTAGTCCAGCAGCAGATGAGTATGGCGCAGCACGAGCCCGCGCAGCAGCAGCACCACCAGACGGTCACAGTGGTCACATCCATGCCGAGCAGTATGGCTGCACATCAGGTGATTATACAACAGTGAAAACCAATACCACAAGAACACAGAAAAAGGTTAGAAAGGTGATCGTATACCGTTTTTACGGGAACCGATGTCGCAGGCTCGCCAACACTACACATCCACCTAGTAGATAATACCCAATCAAACGACGCACAACCAAACAATCGAACCTATCAGCGCTGAAACCCGAGAGCAACGACGCAATCAGAACCAAGTTATGAGTGTTTGCGCACACATAACTGTGGCGCGCTTGCCCCGCCCACAAGGCCATTATAACCTCTTTCTGTGTTCTGTGGTGAATACCTACTTATTGTAAAAAATGCAGGACAAGCGCAGAGTTGGACTTGCGCACATAAACGGCCTTAACTTTTTTTCACGTTAACTCAGAAGTTTGATTTTTCATAGCTTTAAGAGACCTGTCGACCTGAGTATATGTTATAAATTTTAACTCGTTATCTCCACTCGTTTCCCAGATAAAGGGTCTTGATAGACAGACAGATAACCGGCCGTAATTTTTTTTCACGTTAACTTCGACCTTTACGCCTTCCGGAGATAAAGGGTATTGACAGCCAGATGAACAACAAAGTGATCCTATAAGGGTTCCGTGTATTCCTATTGAAGTACGGATCCTTAAAAAAGATATACTCAGAGAACTAGTATTTGCATGGAACTAGAGCTTCAAATATTATAAATGTGAAAGTTTGTATTGCAAGTTTGTTACCAAATCACGCTAAAACGGCTGATCTTCGGATAGTTGGTACATATGTAGTGTATTATTACCTGGAGACAAAGAATAATTTTATCCCGAAAAACATATAAGTTTTCTGTGGGATTCTTAATCTACCAACGGCACACGTTAATCCAATGGAATAAACGATTTAGAGCGACCCCGCACCTTGACAGATCGGTTAGTCGACCGAGGCGACGCTAAGGTCAGGATAATACATTTTGGTCACCCAACAGCCAGACCGATCATTTATATAAGTGCTTATTTTTGCTTGCTTCCGCAATTTAGACACCAACGAGCTCCTATTGTGTGTTCTTATCTATAGTAATACTGGAATCAGTTTGGGAGATTCTGAAAATTAATCTTTGAAACTATACCAAGTAAGCTATACTATTCAAAACAGGCTTAGCAAAATATATATCACACGTGGAAAACTGGGGAGGGTTGCTAGTAATTTATTTGATTGTTTGTTTATTTAAATATAAAATGTTGGTTATCAGGTCCAACAGCAAGCCACAACTGGAATACAGCAGCAAGCTGGTGGAGGAATCACCACAATGCCGCCCTTACAGAGCCTACCGCCAAACACTCAACATCCACAGCAAATCAGGTATAAACACTTAAAAATAAAATATAACTAAAATAATAGTAATTTTTAGTATATTTATTTCGTATGTTTTCACGCACACCACTTATTAATTAAAACTATAGAGTCGTCAGCTGTACATAATAATACTGCCACAGTCTATAGTATCTATTAAAAGTGAAAGCAAATATTTTAGTTCTAAGTAAATACTAACTCTTTACCGGTGTTGTATCGCTATCACCGGTACCGGGTTTTACCGGTGATGCTGCTGTGGCGACTGGGATTCTAAGAATGCTGACCTGATATAAGCGTCGACGCGCGATCAGCGGTGACGCGAGCCAGTCGCACATAACCACCAATCCCGTCAGGTTCATTCATAATTCATTGTAATAGCACGCATAACAGTTAGAAAATAGACATTATCTTTTAGAGTCCGAGTAATTTAGAACGATCTTGGTGAAGTGAATAAACAGTCAGTGATTAACCATAACACCCTGTAGGAAACGTCAATAAATAAATAAATTTGGTACATTAACCCGTAAAAACTAGTTTTATATAACACCTTTTATTTAACGTTCACAGTAGGCACCTCTGACCTAGCGAACTCTTATAGATACCTAGAAGTAAGCCTAAAATGGTGACCCCACGTTTTTCGGTGTGCGACTCACGAACCTGACGGTGGACAAGACACGTGAATGAAAACGGGGCGAACTTTGAGGTAAGGGCAGTGAATTAAAATAGTAAAAATATAAAGTTTGGGTAAAAATGTATGAAGACGCCGTTTGCAGACTGGAACAGCCGATTGTTGCGAAACAGGAGCCCGCACCATCGACTAGTGGAACAGAGATAGCCATGGTACAGTCACGCATCCCCGAGTTCTGGGCGGAGATGCCAAGAATGTGGTTCGCGCATTTTGAGTTAATAATGGCACTACAAAAACAGGGGGATAACGTTAAGTTCGACATGGCAGTTGCAAAATTAAATAAAGAGGCGCTCAGGCAAGTGAGTGACCTGATCCAATCACCACTGGCTACAGAACAGTATAACGCTTTGAAAAGCAGACTTATAGCCGTGTTCGAGGAGAGCGCAGAATCGCAATTCCAGAAACTAGTGAACGAAATGGATTTGGGCACGCAGAAATCCTCACAGTTGCTGAGAAGAATGACAGAACTAGCAAAAAACGTAGGCATACCAGGCGACCCATTAAAAAAATATGGATAAACAGTTTGCCGCCGAATGTAAGATCAGTTCAAGCAGTGAGTGGAGACACGAGATTGGAAGATTTAGCAGCCATAGCAGACAAGATTTTTTAGAATTTGAGGTCTGGGTAGATTGCATCAGTGAGCAGTACATCAACGGAGGTATATCCGCTCATTATTAGGCACATCCGAGACCTAACAGCAGAAATGAACAAATTAAAGTTAGAAATAAACTCCATAAAAACAAGAGGACGCAGTCCGAATCGCAGACAAGAATAACAGAGATGGCAACGTAGTAATTCTCACAGAAAACAAAATGCATCATTGTCCCGGCGTACACCAGAAAGCACAGATGGGCTATGTCGCGAGCATTACCGGTTCAGAGAGCGAGCACATCACCGTGTAACTGGCAACGACAGCAGCAGCAGGGTTCGGGAAACTGAAGGCGGTGCAGTTGGCAGAGATGGACGGCTGCAACGACGAAGGAAACCATCGCTTACGCATCAACGACTATAACAGTGGTATGTGTATTTTTCATAGACACAGGAGCTTACATTTCAGTGATACCGGTGAGTAAAGTGAGTAGTAGTAAAATCAGTAAAAATTGTGAATATAAACTGTATACCGCAAATGGCACAGAAATAAGGACTTACATAATTATACCAGTAGAGTTAGATTTAAGGAGAAATTTTAAGTGGATTTTATAATCTCGGCAATAGAAAGTTGACTGACGGCCTGACCAAACTATATAGATATGTAAGGGTAATAAATAGTGTAGAGCCGACAATTTCCAGTATTCATAGGGACAACCCATTCCATAAGTTATTAGAAAAATACGCAGACATTACTAATCTATTTGGATTGCGTAATGCCGCACAGATATTTCAGAAATGGATAAATAACACTGTCTTACAGGGAATAGAAATGTTAAACACTAAGATTAAAAATAGTGATCATAGTTCTGTGTTATTCTGCTACATTGATGACGTAATAATCGCGACAAGCGATGACGTCACATTGCATACGGAACACTTAGAGCAAGTATTTGAGAGATTTTAAAAATTCGGTATAACGATTAATTTAAAAAAATGTAGTTTTGGTAAGCCCATGGTAGAATTTTTAGGCTATGAGATCAGTAAAGACGGTATAAGACCGATTGAGGAAAATATTAAGGCCATTCAAGAATTCCCAAAACCAGAGAATATAAAGAGCTACGCAGATTTCTAGGAATGATAAACTTTTTTAGATTTCACTTAGACCATGCAGCAGATAGTCAAAGTGTACTCAATAAATATTTACATAAAGCTAAGAAAAGGGATAAAACAAAGATAGAACGGAACACAGATTCGTTAGAGGCATTTGAATAATGTAAAAAAGTTTAGGTAACGCAAGCATGTTATCATATCCAGAACCGCAAAGTAAGTTAGCCTTAATGCGTGACGCTTCGAATACAGGGGTAGGCGCTGTGTTACAAGAAAAGGTTGCTAACGACTGGAAGCCATTAGGTTATTTTTCAAAGGGACTTACTACTACCCAAAAGAAATATAGTACGTACGATAGAGAACTCTTGGTAGTTTATTTAGGTATAATAGATTTTAGAAATATAATTGAAGTTAGGGATTTAACGATATTTACGGACCATAAGCTATTGAAATACGCGTTTAGTAAAATCGGTTCAGATCGAGGAACACCGAGACATACGCGACAATTACTGTACATTAGCGAGTTTACAAGCGAAATACAGTATGTTAGTATGTAAACGGAAACGATAATGTGGTAGCTGACGCGCTATCCCGCATAGTAGAGTCCATTGTTTGTCCTACGAACATTGATTTCTACGATATCGCTAGGGCACAGGAGAATGATCAGCAACTTCGTGACCTGTTAGCTGAAAGTAAGACTAAGCAAAGGTTACAAAGATTACAGTCACCTTTGTGTAGTTGTTCTGTGTACTGTAATGTAAACAAAGATTGTCTAAGACCATACATACCAGAGCAATTTATTTAGTTTTTGATAAGGTACATAATGTTAGCCACCCAGGGAATAGAAGTACTAAGAAAATGATTACTCAGAAATATTTTTGGCCTAACATGAATAGAGACGTTAATAATTGGAGTAAGGAATGCATATCGTGTCAGAAAGTCAAAGTTCAACGCCAAACAGTATCTAAATTAGAGATATTTCCACCACGTCCATTGTCCACGTAGACATAGTTGGTCTTTTACCTACTTCAAGCGAGGGATATAGATATTTAGTCACTATGATAGATGATTAGCCAGAAGCCATTCCAGTAAACGAGATCATCGCAGAGGTAGTAAGTAAAGCTGATCAAGGTAGACAATTCGAAAGTGAGCTGTATTCGGCACTGATGAAACTGTAAGGTATTAAAAAAATCTTACTTTAAGTTATCATCCGCAAAGCAATGGGATGATAGAAAGGTTTCACAGATCACTAAAGGTAGCATTAAAGACACGTTTATTAGATAATTGTACATCGTGGTTAGACGAATTACCAACGATAATGTTGGGGCTTTGCGCAGCCTTTAAAAGCGATAACAACGTAACTGCAGCAGAGTTAACATTAGGACACATATTACGTTTACCAGGAGATTTTTACGAAAGGAGTTCAAGTTTGAAAGGGAAGGACTAAACAAGTTATGTAAGTAAAATAAGACAGGTATTAAATAGTTTACGTCCACAGGATAGACAGAATAGGGATAACAAAAAATGTTTGTACATAAGGATTTGGAAAATTGTACTCATGTTTTTGTCAGAAATGACCTGGTATAGAAGCAGTTAACACCCACATACAGCGGTCCATAGCAAGTCATTAGTAGATCACCCAAATCATTCGTAATAAGGATAGCAGAACGCCAGTCTAACGTTTCTATTGACAGATTGAAACCAGCTAATGTACTCAACGATAAAATTTTGTTAGATAATAACTCATATATCACTAAGGAATGTATGACAAGCAGCAAAAATATATGTAAAGAAACTGTACGTGAAACAGTAATAAAATTGTACGTGATAAGCATAAAGAAAATACTGACGTAAAATGTAATAAGAAGTGGTAGAAGTGTTAAGCAACCAGTACGTTTTTTGCTGAAATGATACATGTAAAATGCAATATATGTTTTTAAATGTGTAAATTTAAACATCTAAGAAATTACTTTTGTGTAGTACAATCTTCAGGAAGAAAAATTATTATTTAAAAATGGGAAATTACTAAAATAAAGATGTTGTAATAAGTACTCAGGCACAAATTGCAAGTGCTGAGAAACTGCAAAGTCAAGTAAATATGTTCAGTATTATGTTGATAGTTATGATAGTATATTATGTGAGCATGGGGTTACTATACGCCATACGTCACAGATGTGTTAATGGCCTAAAGAAATTGATAAAGAAAGAAACTGCAAAGGTAATTCCAGAAGTAATCCATTTACCTATAACCGCTTTAAATGTTGCAACCGGAAGGCCAAGTGTAGCTTACGAAGTGAAAATAAAGTTATATTTTTTATATTAATCACGGAGTATAAAATTAAATATGTTGTGTAAAATTGTGTATTTCCACGCAAGTGATATTGTTAAATTTAAGGATTTTTTAATGCAGTATAAATTCATGCGTGGTGTTGCTAAAAGGAGTATTGTCGACCTTAAAGCTGTTATTATGTATTGCAGAGCATAGCCCTTTTAGTGACTACCTAAGACGTGTTATTTTGTTATGTTTCTACTGAAACATCTTAAAGACGGACCTGAGAAACCGATGTTGGCAAAATTTTATTAATTCTATGTATCAAAGTTATATAAAATGTGTATTGTGAAATATCAGTAAAGGAAATTTAGAGATTATGTCAAAATTCTAGTTTATAGTTATATACAGTACAATAGTAAGGTAACGAGAAATAAAAATGCAAGATCGTTTTTGTAAATGGTTTAATCGAGTTATTTTGTATAACAACGTACAGAGCTTCCCCTTAAAATAAATCCGTTCTAAAAATAGAATTACATGATTGACCATAACACATTTTATTTAATGTTCACAGTAGGCACCCCTTACCTAGCGAACTCTTATAGATACCTAGAAGTAAGCCTAAACTGCGATATGGCGTGTTGCACTGTCAATAATGGTGTCGATTCTGGTATGTTTCTCTGGACTTAGAGCTTAATTTGGTATAGGTCTGTCATTTTCATTCTATATAGAGAATGACAGGCATACACTGTTGTCTGGTTTGGGCTTGGGTTTGGGGGGTGGAGTCGGAATCACCACCAATATCATGATATCGTGATATTTTATTCTTATTGTTATCTCTTCTTGTTTGTTGTGTTTTGTAATGAACCTAATTTTATTCATTATTTCTGTGATGTGACTGCGCTGGGTATGGCAGAATATCAGTGCAGCGGTATGTACCTGCTGCCGCGTATGCTGAGCTGTATCCAGTTTTGGCATCAAATAAAATACACATATTATTATTTATTATCAATACATATTAGCTGTTTTTTTTTACTTTTTTTTGTTTATATGCTTTGTGGTTGTTTTAGTTATTTTGTATCGTTGTTATTTCTTCTTGTTTAGTCATTCATTTTGTTGTGTGTATGTTATGTGCGGTCAACAAATAAAACATTTTTCATTTTCTTTTTTTCTTTTGTAACGGGCAAAAGAGTAATATAAAGATTATAGTTTAGTATTAAACTAATTTTGCCCAATTCAATTAATTTTGATTTCATTCGCGAGCGCATAAAGAAGTTTCCGTGAGCTACACAATCACTACTCGACTAGATAAACTTTTATGTTTGAATAACACCAACATTCACCTGCACTCAGCGTACTCAATAAAATTATAGTTTCATTAAAAATAATTTGTATGTAGCTATTCTGTTGCCATCGCAAAGAAAGTAGAAGCATCAAGTTCAATAAAGAACTTGGTTTCATGGGGTAGGGGTTTGGGTTAGGGTGACCTAAAATTTACTATCTGAAGCTCCTCCGTGCTTCGGGAGGCATGACAGCCGTTGGTCCCTGCTGCATCTGCAGTCGTTAGCACCCACCAATCCGTACTGGGCCCGCGTGGTGGGTCATGGCACAATCTATATTATACCTATTCCAACCATAGGGAGGGCCTGTGCCCTAGCAGTGGGGACATTAATAGGCTGATGATGATGATGAGGCAACGACGATAGTGAGCTTTTTGGTAACTCTAGCGTCTATAGGCTACGGTGGCCCCTTATCATCTGGCGGGCCATATGCTTTTTTGCCACGTTTTTACCACAAATAACCTAATATTCGCTTTAAAAATGTTTCAATGTCATTCTTACTTTTAAAAATTTCTCTTATCTACGTATAATTTCTTGTTTCAGTGCGGAATGGGGTCACAGTCGCGTGCAAGTGATCCAACAACCGTTACAGAACAGCACATACTTGCAACAGTTATACAACGCGCAGGGTCCTTTACTGATGCCTGGGAACATTGCCCTGCATCCCGGCATCAATTCCCAACAAATACAGGTTACATTTGGCTTATAGTGGTCTTTTTTTAACTAAAGTCTGTTTCAAACGAATTAGAGCAAAGGTGAACAAACACTTTACCTCCCAATTCCCACGCAATGACTTACTAAATGGATTTCTCAACACATTCATTTACATTTCAAGTGGTTTGACTTGTTAATTCACTATCTTTTAAAGCACTAGTTTATTTGTTTATTTATGAAAAATAGTAAATTTAAACGAGTCGAAAAGTAAGATTATTTTGACAAATGGGAATTGTCTGTTGTCTATGGTTGAACAGTGTTACACCGAAAAGTCTCTTCAAAATGATTTCAATCGATGTTAATAATTGTATAGTGAATCGATTAAATAATTGGTTAGAAACCGTCTCATTTTTTATCAGTAATCCAACATATGCATAATTTATTTGTTTGATATACTTAGATTATTTTATTTTTTCGTAACGAAGAAACTAAAGGGAATGCTGGACGTTCAACAGGATGATAATGCGAGCTCGTTAGCCGACGAACCTAGATATTCAATAAATAACGCAAACCAATCGTTCAAAAATAATTTTATTAAGTAACGAAATTTAGCTAAATTGCCAAATGCAGTTAACAGCTCTATAGCTCTTTTTTGATAGATGACGATAAAAAATTATAAGTGCTACTAATTAAACCTTATAAACCATTAACAATTTCTAAGGATATGATCATTCAATTGCTCTATTGATATTTATAAGACTATGAATCCGCATCACTAAACTGTCTATGGTCAGACTTACCTACCTCTTTGTTTACGTTTGGCCTAAATTCGTCTGAAACAAACAGACTATAGAAATTACCTTATGAAAACGCTACCTTCGATTTTAAAAACGCAACATAAGCACTTATCTGAACGGTCCATATCGGTATATTTATCGATACGTGAACTTTTGTCAAATTTGAATTTGCTATTGTCCAAACTATCAAAACTTGCTCGATTGAATTTTAGTCACAGCACATCTTTGAAATAGCAGAGTTCTGTCAATATTTAATGCATAATGTATCACTGATATTTTTATTACAAATACTGTCAAGAGAAAGCTTAGATAACATTCTCTCCTCTTATACCCAGGTTTTATTGACTAACGTGACGTTATTAAACTTTTGACAAAAAAATATATGACAAATTAATTATATTACTTACCTAGAATGCCCAGATCCCTGTTCCCCATAGAGCACAAGCTTTATTGTCTCTTAACTTTTTTTGCTACGGCAGGCACCGCAGATGTCGTTGCTTCCACAGATGCAGCTGAAAGCAAAAGGGTTTAGCACCCATCAATCCGCACTGGAATCTCTTGATGGCTCCAGCCCCCCTAGCATGAGCACCATGATATGATATATAATGCGTTTTTATCACGCTCGATTGGCATATTACTATTAAGTTTCACAGTTAGACGCGATAAAAAACGTGATATAATATAGATTGTGGTGCTCATGCTACAGGGAATGGCCTGTACTCTTTATCTCCTACAGCCTGCTTATGTGGATATTCATAGGCTGGTGATTATTCCCCTTGAAGATTGTCGATGACCTCCCTTCTTTCATTAATTAATGTACTTAGCCACTAATGGTAATTCTAAACCATTAGTGTCCTATTTCTTCTGGTCATGGAAGTTTTGTAATAATGATCTGACACCAACAACTAACCACAATCTAAATAATGATTGCAGTTTTAAATTTCACATTGAAAAGCTTTATCAATCAATGAAGTTTTATAATAAAAACGTATTATGCATAATGTTGGATTTGCTGTATATCGAAGTATTCATACAGAGTACAAATCTGTCAAAATTCTATAACTAATTTCAACGGGCAATTTTTCAAAGACATTAAATAGAAGGATGACTTCAATAATTCAACTGTACCTATTTATTGAGAAATTCTCTTATTTACCAGGTTATCGCTGCAGGCAAGCCGTTTCAAGGGAACCAGTTAGCACCACACATGCTAACTACGCAAGGGAAACAGGTCCTTCAGGGTCAGGCTGGTAAGTAATAGTCTCATCGAAATAACAGTCAACACAAAGTAAAATTGATTTCTTTTGTAAATGTACCCTTTGTTCCCAAAAATTTTGACGATGGCGATACCATTAGGGTCTTTTAAAGTTCGTGCTTGGGATACTAATGCTAGCACTTCACAAAGCTATTCGTACTTGCTATTTGTAAACTTGACCACAGTATATCGTTATCATGCTCCATAGGGAATGAAAGTGAGAGACTGCTGTCAAATTCACATATTGTAAACATGAATACACATGTTTATTGCTAGCATGAAAGGAAACTGAAGCTGCTCACATAACATCGCAGATAGTAAAAGTCTATTGAGGGTCACTACAGTTTTGTATTGATATTGTTAATTAAACTTTAAAATGGTGGCGATTCTGGATTGATTTTTAAAAATTAAAATTAAATTTTAAATCAGTCTCTCCTTTTCATTCTGTATAGCGAATGACAAGGATAGACTGTTGTAAAATTTAATTTTAGGTTTCGAGAATCATGCTGGAATTGCCACCAATATTATAGTTATAAAAGTAATTTGAATACTGGCGTTTATTTAACTATATCAAGAGGCCGACCCTTTAGTACTCTGCCATTCTGCAAGGTAGATGGTGTATAGTAAGAGAGCAAGGGCATACAGCGTTTTTTAGATGCCTTCTGCATACGTTTGCGTTGAATGTTGTTATTGCATAAATGTACCAATGTAAGACTTGCTGCCGCACTTAAAAAAGTCAATTGAGTTTTCAGTTTGACTTTAGTTGAAGTTGTCTCTTTCTTTGTGATAAAATAGAATGAGACAATACGTGACTTAATGAGGCAATATATTAACTTGACGTTTCTGTATACGGCTGTTATTTGGGAACTGTTGATACTGTCGCGTCTTTAAATACGCCCATAAAACGCTGTGTGCACTTTCCTTCAGAAACAACATTACGAAATTTGATTTAACATGTAAACTGCAATTTGGTACGTTCCGCTACAGATGTAAAGGAAATGTTGTTAACTAACGCCAGTAGCGGCAAAAATATGATCATTATACAGCGTTTTGCCAGCAGTTCGACATTTATGTTGGACAGATGACTATTAACAAATGTTAAGACGCCGATCATGTGGACAACTGAACAATAATTTTATCTTAGCAAGGTGAATCTTGTGATCGATCACAAAGGCCAATGGAGTAGAGGAGCCTTAGGAATCCTTTGCATTTTTACTATCAAATGCCCGAGCACGTATTTCGACATTTCCGTAAACGTATCGTCAACGTCAAATTTTATATTGAAGGAGCCAGGTTCTTCTTACGTCCGGTAGGGGCGCTGCTCAGTTTTCATATAAACTTGACGATGCGATACGATTACAGAGCTGTCAAAATTCGTTTTGGCCCTCAGATGTCGATAAACAGCCGTAATTTATCGTGTTGCTATGTTCAAGCTGATTCAATTGTGTGTGATATAACTAAAGACTTAATAAGATAAAAAAGTGAAAAGTTAGAACAATAACGCACAGAAAACTATATTATGCTACTAACAGTCAGACAGATGTGTTAAAAAAACGTGTATAAATTCTGTAGTCATAAATAGTATGGCTAGTCAAACAACATAATTAATCTAAAAATGGGAAAGCAGATCTTTACTGCTATGTATATTTGATTGGATATTTTTATTAGATACTGTTCTGATGTTCTTACAAATATGTATAACCAAAATGGTTAGTGTGGCTTTCTTCAATTTGACGCAGGAGTACGTTTTCTAGTTAATTTATGGTCACTTTGTATATTCATATATTTTTTTATCCAAATCACTCTGTAAGTAGGCACTGTAGTAAATATTTATGTATTAAAGCCGTGACTTTTAAATTTTCAGGATTAAATGGAATAAAACTATTATAAATCCCTAATTTCAATTAAAAAGAATAGAGCATTTTAATCATGTACTTTTTCTACTCAACTCTATATTACTCTTTAACATGAATTCTATCAGCTTCAAAGCTTTACATTGTGTTATTTAATTTAATTAATTTCAAAACATATACAGCATAGAACGTTAAGCGCCATCCATGCTTTTACATGACTTTTATTTATTTTGGTCACGCACAAGTTACTAGCCTACTTTAAAAGATATGAAACATATTGAAATAAAAAATAATAAAGTAGTTATTATTAAGTCTACGATCGATCAACAAGGAGATGATAAGGGGTTTCATGATTCTGAAATCTATATTTTTTTGTAAATTTCGTGGAAAAGTAATTAAATAGCAAATAAAAACGTGTGCTGTAAGCCTAAGAACTTCTACACTATTTAGGTTTTCAGTAAATTTTGCAGGTCTCACTACGTATCAGGAACAAGGTTATAAACTTTTGAAAATGGATTATATTTGTTTCGCGTCTCGTGAATGGAACATGTGAATGTGATTTAATTTTTCGGGAGATGAAAATTTATTTGTTCAGAACATTTTAAGCGTTTCTTTTGATTGGCAATTTCGGTAAACATTCTTTCGAGCTTGTTTTTAAGACGAAATATTTGCCCCACGCAGGCCAGATGCTTTTTCAACTATTATTTTTCACATCGTCAATCGCCATTGCAGCTTTCTTTGTTTTCGGCTTACGACGCATTTATAGTTAACCACGGGTGATACGGTCTGCACTGTGGGTGACTTTAATTAACACTGCACATAAGTAAGGGTGAATTAACGTAAGATTGATGTTGCCCGTTGTGTTTCATCTATTTTCGAAAATATTGTCTAACCGTCACAGTTATGTGCTATGTTATACAAGTTACTACGAAGTTATTATAGTTATGCTTAATTTCTTTGTCAAAATAAAAATTACAACTTATTTTATTTCCAATTTGTACGTGATTTGTGTATTATAGCAATAAACCATGTATATGACATTAATTTTCCAATTGCAGCCTGTCGTAAGTAAAATTACAATAAAAAATGTCCTTAAGAATATTATTAGAAGAGATATTAATGTTGGATGTTAATATAATTTTTGAGGCAATACGTGCAATACTGGGTGCAATTAGAAATTTAAGTCGTAATATTATAATTTACGTTCTCATAATGCATGGTAATTCATAAATTTTGATTATAATTTTATCGATTGACGGATACTTTAAATGCGGACACTGTATAAACATGATGCCTTTTCACTTTAGGGGCATGTTTTTACATTTAAGTTGTTAAGATGTAATGTTTAAGTATAAAAATTGACCATTTATTTTTATTGTTAGTTTACAGTAGTTCATAGCCTAATGCAAGGTTTACATTAGAAATAAAATGATAGAAATAACACACGATGATTAAGTAATTTGATGCCTAGCTATTTAACTATGCTGTATGTATATCCTCACAGTGGTCGGCATAGTGTTCCTAATCCGGTATATTTTCCAATGGTTGAATTTTAAACTGAATGTTTATAGCACTTACATCATCATTAATAATCATCAGTGCCATTTCTATTAACGTAGAATATTACATAATCACTCGGTATGAGGATGGGGAACACTTGTATGTAGTGACACTGAATTCGAGATAATTTTTCATATTATTCGATTAATGCATGATTAGCAACCTTATTTTCTATAAACTGGACAAAATTACATGCAAGAGCTCTCTTCCTTATGTATTTCTTGTGCAGTAAAACATTTTTGTAAACCAACAGCACCGTTCCCTGGATACACGACGATTCCGGCAATACCCACTACACAAAACCAGACGTTCGTGTTTAGCCCACTGGGCGTCATCAACTCGCAACCGAACATTTTGCCGGCGCATTCACAGCCAACCGTCTCTGGCATCGGCCAGCAACAGAAACCGGCGGAAATGCATAAGGTAATTGTACACTGATGGCATCAAATAATGCAGAGAATACGACCGTAACTATACATCTAAAGCCCGCAGAACGTAAATTGTGGGGCATCACAAGCTGCTGATAGGAGACGCTATTAGACGTTATTGTAACTTGTAACTGAAAATCACTGTGGATTTGTATAGTTAACAAAACTACCAACGTCCAAAAAGTAGCATATAAAACGTCCACTAAGCACTTTTATCATTAAAAATATATATATATGCTATTTAATTTTTATTATGTGCATATTTTTATTTTTTTTGAAGAAGTTCAATAAAACTTATACATATATTCACAGTAATTTGGCACTATCACTAACATTCCATTAATTACGCTGACGCTTATAAGAATCGACTTATTATAATATGAAAACACAGTAACAATACTGTGTGCTATCTTGTCATGTGTTATTAGCCACTCTTTTACATAAAACTTCTATTCTAAACCAATTGTAGATTTATAAAAATGGTAAACATACATTAAAGGTGTATAAATAGAGGCAAAGATAAACAGTCGCTCTATAATAGCTTCTTAAAACTAAGAAAGTACACTCTTAAAGAGCTGTTAAATTGTCACGTTAAAACGTTTGGACGACCACTATAGAATTATAAGTATAATTTGTGCCCAATTTGAAGGTACTAAAGCTTTCCATTAAGTGGCTGTTATGTAGCTGTTTTATACAGCCAGTGTGCTAGTTGAGGTTCGTTACTAAATGCAGTTGTAGTCGATCTATTTTGGTCCACAAAAATGTCCACGCACAATTGCCCCTCGTTTGCGCAGGCCATCCTGAAAATGTATCATTATAATATGAATGTAATGATATATTGTATTCCACAAATATAATTTTCAAAAAAAAAAAAAACGTTTGGTGTCGGTTTAATGACGACGATTTTCAAATTTGAATTTCATGAACTATGTCCTTGATTTGTCAAGTGTTGCCGAAAGTAGAATGACCAAATTGGACCAAAAATTGGTAAAAAAAGTCTGCCCCCAGATTTGCCACATAGCTCATTTGAAAGAAGAGTTCAAATGCAACATTTTATTCTATGGAACCGAAAAAATCTGTCACACATTAACATAAATATAACCTAAAATGTGATTTTATGAAAAAGTTGCATATTTTACTTTTTTACACAGGTAGGTGACCTTTTCTTATAGCAGATAATTAGCTTACACGCCAGTTTGCTTTCTTTGTACATTGTTCAATAGTTGTGTGAGCGAGAAAGCGATAGCGCCACCTTCTCGCTCTATTTGTTTCAGATACAATTTAACAACGCCGAGTTTATCTGTCAGCCTTGCTGGCGACGCGAGGCGTACCCACCAAGACGTCGTGCGTCCAGTGAACGAGAACAAGAACCACCAGTACGCCCTTCTGAACAGCCAGCAGATCAACCTGTGATAGAACCAGATCAAGCCGAGGTACCACCAGATCAAGCTGTGGTACCGCATGCTGGTGATCAACGTGGAGCAGTAGTTGACGAACAAGATATTCAACATTCTATTATACAGTTACCACATATTAGTCGGGCACCGAATACTTCAAACTCTTGCATTTTATTCGGATGTACAGGCGAGACAAGGCATCGAATACCAAAGCACATGAAAATTCGTTTGTTGAAAGATTTTAACTACTACGCACCACCTTTTGCACGCGTTTGTGAAGAACATTTGCTTTTAAATGATTTTGAGATTTTATTGTCAGCCAGAAATGTAAGTCATGACTTTAACGAAGCTCACATCATGGACATGATGCAGATTTTGAAAACTATGCCGCAAGAGGGAAGGGTGGATTTTGAAAATATAGAAACCATGGATCCAAATGAAGTTTACTTTCTGACTGGTCGAAGTTTCAAACAGTTCAACAGAATGTTTGTAGAAACGCCATCTTTGTCTAGAAGAAGCAAAAGACCCAAAACCGCTTTTGGCAGCATATTTGATTAAGTTAAGAACTGGTGAAGCCAATACAAGACTGGCCGATATGTTTCACATAAGCCGAACAACTTTAGAAAGCGAAATGAAAACCGCAAGAGACTGTATAAAAGAAGAATTTACACCTCTACATTTGGGTTGGGATCACATCACAAGGGAGCAAGTGCTTAGGCGAAACCTTTTTATACCTCAAACTCGGTTCGGAAACCGAGAACAAAACAAATGTATAATTATACTTGATAGTACCTATGTATACATACAAAAAAGTAGCAAATTCCTAATAGTCTGTTGTGATGGCTTTATAATTGAAGTAGCAGGTCCCTATTCAGCGACTACATCCGATGCAAGCATTTTAAATAAATTAATTGATGGTGCGAACAGTGTTTTTAATTGGTTTTTCCAAGAAGGAGATGTTCTCATTTTGGATAGAGGTTTTCGAGATGCCGCCGTACCAAACGTAGAGTCTTGTGACTATGATGCCCATATGCCTAAATCTGTTTCAAGGGGCGAAACTCAATTAACAACGGCTAACGCCAATAAGTCTCGATTAGTGACGATTTGTCGATGGGCCGTGGAAGTAGTAAATGACCGCTTCAAGAGAGATTTTAAGATTTTCAGGCAAGATTATTTTAACAGAGCTCTGCCTCACATGCAGGACGATTTTAGGAATGCCGCGGCCATCACAAAGGCTTTCCACGACCCAATCATTGATTATGTTAATGCTTCTGGTTTTATGGAGAGAATTAATAATAGAGTCAATATTGAAAACTGTCTCGCACAGTATGTCATTGACTATAATCTTAATAGCCGGCGGATTCCGTTTCAAAGTATGTCTGCCGAGTTACCTGATGTAAGAGAATTTCCAAGGTTGTCTGAGGAAGAACTTGTTATGTTTGCGTTAGGAACGTACCAAATAAAACTAGCCAGGAGTTATTATAGTGAACACGCTCGTAATGGTGTATATACAATAGAAGTGTACAGAGAAAATAATGATTTGAATAATCTTTTAAATAATTATAATATAACTGGTAATAACTTCTGGCTATTAAGAGGTAAAGTCCAATCTAGGCATACCCGAAGCTGAATTTATCATACATATATACTTGTAAACTCAGACCACCTTGGGTTGGAGGCTTTAAATCATTATTATTGTTCGTGTAGGAGTGGCAAACGTACTTTGGGCACATGTGCTCATGCAATGTCTATAGTAAGGTTTTTGGCATATGCGCGGTACGAAAATATTGACCATCCAGCACAGTTTTTAGACAGTATTGTAATAGATGAAAATGATTTATAATACGCATTCTATATTACCATCTGTGCAGAATAGTGAGTCATGAATAACATTTAAAATAAATTGTTCGAAAATAAACAATTATTAAATAACTATGTCGTTTTTTTAATTCATTATTCATCTATTTATTTAGTGAATCCTTATAACAACATTTTTAACAAGCAGAAATAATATACAAAAAAAAATTGGTGCAAGCGAAAGTGTATTGTTGCAGTATTATATAACGTCGAATTACTCTGTAACTGTGGGTTGGAATTTGATGCGCATTTGCATACATAGTTAGTCCAACAGTATTAACCCACCAACAAAGAGTCAACCCTGGGGGCAGCAATTTTTTTTGGTCCAGTGCCCATACTAATTTGGTCATTCTCCTTTGTTCAAAGACTGGTTTTATACGGCCATCGTTGTTTATATGTAACACTCTAGAGGTAGGGCAGACCAAGACCACGGCGTGTCGGGATTGACCAAGTCGTTTCTGAATTAAAGACTGTTGTAAAGCCACATTTACTTTTTTTTCTAAGTGTTCAGCCCATATTATTTTTTATTTACCAAGATCTCAAAACAAACACAAAATGGCGAGACATCTGTCATTTTGACAATAGTACCAACGTTTTGTATTTATTCATACTGCCCGGTCCAAGCGATAAATTCAAGCTTTCTAAACACTGACTTATTACGTGGACCACAAGCGGTCCGGCATTATTAAAAATGCCCGGGCAAGGTGATAAATTGGTGAGCTTAGATTGTAATTAATCACTTGGCCCAATATGGCTGGGCAATATTCATACTGCCCTGGCATTATGAATACTGCCCGCATTAATCACTTGGCCCATAACATGTATATTCATATTGGAATTAAGGGCCGCGGTAGCATAATTGGTCAGTGCATTCGCCCCGATTGCGAAGGGTGCGGGTTCGAGTCCCGTCTGCAGCCTGGTCCGCGTGGAATTTTTCTAGTTATATTTTCTTTAGATTTATACATCAAGCAGTTACATGCTTAAAAAATTAAAATTATAACTAAGTCATTTTTATTTTCGCCTTCAAAAGGAATGGAAAGTGGCCACATTAAAAGATGATAAAATATAATTATGAATCACAATTTACAGGTTAAAAAAATGGCACCAATGGAAAGTCGAACATGACGTATCTTTGATAAGCCCTTTTTTTTTAGTTTCATAACTTTATGTTTTTTTTGCATTCTGTCTTGAAGACGTCTATGTATAAATGTCAATGTGACGTCTATGTAAAAAGCTACATACAAGTGAACAGCTCAACGAGATCGAATATTTGGTTCTTTAGAAATCTATAAACCGCCATTATCTGTTTTCTGTTTCTTCCGAGCAGTTTTTCTCGTGTCTCTCTCACTACGGGACATTGGCGAATTTTCTGTGGGAAACAGAGAAAGCCACAAACACAAAAAAATGTAGCTTTTTATTGCTTCAAAATAAATAATTCAAAATATAGTAAATAATTAAATAGCAAGCGTCGAAGGTTTTTAGATCTGTGTGCGCGGGAATCGACAGACATTTGAGTTCTATGTTTCAAAAATGAGTGACTGCTGCCAAAGGACAATGTTTAAATTGGCCTAAGAACCAACACCAATTTGGCATTTATGATAATTCTTAGTATATTTTTTGCGATAATTATCAGTATTTAGATTGTGACGGACTCTTCCAGTTAAGTAAGCTAAATTAAAAAGTTAAAAAATAATCTGAAACAATAAATACCATTTTATGTGTATAATCTGTGGCATCGCTGCAAACAAAACACTCTTTCTTCCTAATGCCGGCACTTCACTTGGCTATTCGTATTTGCTATTTTAAAACATGACATCAGTCTGTCCTTTTCATTCCTTATTAAGCATGACAAGGACAAACAGTTGTCAAGTGAAGGGCCGGCATAAAATTGTTAATCTGTGGTTGTGGTGCATGCAATTTGCATTTGTAGTAATCTGTGGCATTCGTGCATTCCAAAGAGTAGTTTAATATACCGAAAAGTGCATTCTCGTTTCGGATTACCTGTTGTGTGTGTCTATTTGCGATTGTTTTTCCTTTAATTTAACTATTTCGGCTATCTAATGTGCCATCGATGTTACCAAAGAGCAGAGCCCTTATTACCAAGTGCTAGTGAACCTGTGCCATAACATCCTGAGAGGATCATACTGCCAAATTATTCAAGAACACCTGATACACATTCACGCTGCGTATTTACACAATAAACATGTGATATACAAATAAATACAATAAACAATATGATACAATTATGTGAAAAATAGTCATTAAATAAGAAGCAAAACTACAGTTTTTATTTTATTCATGATTCCTACCCAACCAAGTTTTTCCTAATAGTTATTCTTTAAAATCGCACCGAATAAAATGAATTAGTTGTAATATTAATTCGCTTCATACTGAGTTCATACTAAATTCATAGGTTGAACTATGTTTCATTGAATATTAAAAATAACCTCAAAAAAAATTTAGTTTTCCTAATAATTTAAGTTCTCAGAAGTGTCCGTCAATAATCTTTGTTTTTACAGTCATTTACTTACGATTTTGAACCTAGAAAATAATATTTCATGATTGTTGGTTCTTAGGCTAACTATTTATGGACGCTGAACAATGTCCTTTAGGTTAAATTTTTATTTCAAATGAAATAAAAAAGTATAGATTGAATTCTACTAACAACAAAGTCTGCCTTGTCAGTCGAGCTATAGCGGCGCGTCGACCAAATCTCTTATCTATTAGACAAGTCCGTCCGTCCGTCCGTGGTGCTGTTTCAGCGGCCAAACCGTAAGAGATAGATATAGAGAATGTTTAAGTTATAAGTTAAGAATAGTCTGATAAGACTACAAACCGGATGTGAGTAACGTAGGACTTCCGGTTTTCGAGAAATCACGTGATTTCTATTTCAAACGAAAGCACACAAAATCTCCGAAGTTCTCAATTAATTAAATACTTTTTTTTTTTTTTGGTGAACATTTGGTTCACAGGTTTGCTATTTCTTTATAATATTTCAAAGCCTTGGAAGTTTCGTTGTAAATGTTCGTGATTTTGTGTACGTACAGGGCGAGGCTTAGTTTTAACCGGCTTCACTTTGTTGTTGGCAGAGTTCCGTCTATAATTTTGTTATTTGATCAGAGATAGAATCATGAATACGTATTACGTTGTTGATCCCAGGTGATGAGCGGCGGTAAAGTGACGGGCGGGAAGGTAGGCGGTACAGGCGGTTCGCAGACGGTGCCCGTCCAAGCGCAGTGCGTGCAAGTCTCGCAGCCCTTATTAGGCGGCCAGCAACCTACGCAAGCGCAGATCATAAGCCCGCTGCAGGTTTGTTACTATTGATTGTTATTTCGATATGTTTTTTTACAGGTATTTTATATTTTTAAAGGTCAAGGCAGGTACTTTGGAAATTACCGGTGTTTTTGGTAACTTATACTCTGTGCAGTAACCGGTGCAATCTCAGATCTGAGGTAACTTTTTATGTTTATCAAAATGAAGCTCTTTACAGCGTTATTTAAGATTCACATCTTTATTTAATCTCTTGTAGCCGGCGTTGACCTTATGTTAATTTCAAAGTAATTCTTATTTAATTTTTCAGATTAGCACATCTGTATTTTTAAATTTACATTTATAAGAGGTGCTGAGTGATTGATTTATCAACGAAATATTGTTAAAGTAACGACAATATTAAAACCGACAAAGAAATACTTGTTAATTTATTTTTAACAAACCTTCCCCGTATTTCTATAGTGGTTGCTGATCTGTGATCTATATTTTGTTTTTGCTGTAAGCGAATTTTTTTTTAATACTGCATTGCGAGTTTGATTTTGAAATTATTATAATATTTAAAACAAAAAAGGTTTTGTACAAAAATATATACGCACTTCGATTACTGTTTTGAAATCGCTAAGAAATCTTACAATCTCGTACGATATTCTATTTAATTTATGTATAATGTTGAATTGAAATTCAACAAAGAGATCACTGCTAACATGTGAACCATTCTAGTATTTGTTACAGCTATTACCAGATTCATCATGATATTACCGAAGAGCTGATTTCTACACATACGAATCTGTAAAATAGTCTTTGACGCTTAGACATTAAGTTGGGTGGTTTTTATGTAGGTATATTAGAATCTTACTTTCAGCTGGAAATATTCGGAAAGATGTGTAACGAGATGTATTTTTTATTAAATAACAATATAACAACTGATTTTGCACACCTCAACAGAATCAAAATTCACACAGGACTAGTTATCTATTTTCAGAGTTTACTTCTGTTTGAGTTGATTCTTCGTTCGTAAAATGCAATATTGCTTATCATATTAGTAATATTGGGGATACATTACAACACTTATTTTAAGTAACATAACAGAATAATAATTAGGTAGTATTTGTTTTTAACACCAGTATCGGAAGAGTTTAGGTCAAAGAGCAATGTTAGTGTCCGTCAAAAGCGAATACTCTATAGGGTGGTAGGTATATGAAACATACGTAATACATCTCGTCTATAGCTATACGCAACGAATTAGAAATGATATGCTAAACTTCAATACTAACAATTGACAAATCAAAATTATGCAAATGAATTCGGCTATACATTCACTGGGTAAGATAATGTTAAATGGAAAGCTGAAATCTCAGTCAATTTGCATTTGTTGATCGCAGTTTTTCGCCCCGCACACGATCGCAGTTTCCGTGGAACCATTTTATAGCATAGTTCGTATTCCATACCATTTCTAATACGTGACATATGTAATACATGTTGGTTGTGTTTATCGTGTGATGATATGTATATGTTTGTACTAGACTGGTGGTCAGGCAATGCAGTTCGCGCCATGGCAGCTGTCCGGCGCGTTGCCTCAAATGTGGGCTGGCGGATTGCAAGCGGGCGGATTGCCGACCGGCGGATTGTTGGCTCCGAATCCGATCTTCATAAGGGGCGCGCAACCCGACGCCCCGCCTTCGATGTTCATACAGCACTCGCCGCAAAACAACGTGCAGCACGCCAGTTAGTATATATGTGTTTATCTTTGAACATAGCCTTGTATATCCAATAAACTATGCTAGGGCACGTTTTTCCTATCTAAATAACCTCAAAAAGTTCTTTAGCCCGATCTTCATAAGGAGGCGCAACCAGACGCCCCACTTTCGTTATTCATACAGCACTCGCCGCAACACAACGTGCAGCACGCTAGTTTGTATACATGTGTTTTTCTTTGACCTTGTATATCCAATAAACTATGCTATGGCATGTGTTTACCTATGTGTTTTGCCTCAAAAAGTTCTTTAACCTGATCTTCATAAAGGGCGCGCAACCAGACGCCCCTCTTTCGTTATTCATACAGCACTCGCCGCTAAACAACGTGCAACACGCCAGTTTGTGTATATGTGTTTATCTTTGAACATAGCCTCGAATATCCAATAAACTATGCTTTGGCGCTTGTTTACCTATGTAAATAATCTCAAAAAGTTCTTTAACCCGATCTTTATGAGGGGCACGCAACCAGACGCCCCACTTTCGATATTCATACAGCACTCACCGCAAAACAACGTGCAACACACCATTTAGTATACAAGTGTTTATCTTTGAACATAGCCTCGTATATCCAATAAACAATGTTATGGCACGTGTTTGCCTATGTGAATAACCTCAAAAGTTCTTCACCCCGTCTATCTGTCCACATAATCTCAAAAAGGCCTTAATTTGCGGGCATGGTTTAAAGGATTGGGTACTCGTCGTGACTGATGTTTACTTACTAATCTAATTTTCTTCATTAATAGAGGAAGTATAAGTAAGGGCTAGTTACACAGTGATTTGTTCACTGTCACGTTTTGATGCGTCAAAGTTTATTTTTCGACAAATATTATGAGGGTATACGACATAGCACACCGGATTAGCAAGTTGAAGTGGCAGTGGGCTGGCCATATTTGCCGAAGAACCGATAACCGTTGGGGTAGAAGAGTTCTGGAGTGGAGACCGCGTCTAGGCAAACGTAGTGTAGGACGTCCTCAGGCACGATGGAGTGACGATTTGCGGCAGGAGCTGGATGCGAGTAGCCCAAGATCGATCTGAGTGGCGTGCATTTGGAGAGGCCTATGTCCAGCAGTGGACTAAGATGGGCTGTTGATGATGATGACGATGATGATGATTATGAGGGTATGTTTTTTAATTTTGTGTGATGTGTTTATTGCTATGCGATTTTGCGAAAGTTGACTGAGTATCTCATCATCAGTCACTAAATTTTTTTAGATGATCGTTTTATTATTTCCTTTTATAAATTTAATGTGTTGATCATATTCACTCAAATAAGAATTTGATTTAATAAATACATTCATTTGGTGATGTGATTTATGATTTTGATTAACTTATGTTATCAAGTGAAGCGTCGATATTTTTTTCCATGTTGTGCTCATGATAGTTTGACTTACGGACAGCCAATCATCAAGTTACCAAAAAACTGTAAAATTTTCTCAATACATTGTGAATATTATATCAAGCTATTTAAAGCTCAAATTCAGTTGGGGGAAATAGGTCAGTTATGGGTTATTTGACCTGAGTGTGTTTGGATATAATTTTACTTTTGACTATATCATATTTTTACGTTATACAGCTCTGCATTGCATAAACTTTTATATTGGTTATATCTATATTTTTTTATATTTTATATCTCTAAAATAGTCGTTTTTGCTGAGAAAATTTCCATAACATGATAGTTTTGGGTATATTCTAGAATCAAACACTTTTGAGCATTCGACTTTTAAAATAATCTTTGTTGCTGAATAATTACTATATAGATTGTTTTAGCATTTAATCTGGGATCATGCGCAATTCAACATTTGACTTATAGAATAGTTTTTTTTGCGGTAAATATTGTTTTTGGATTTATTCTAGGACCATAACCTCAGGGGCGTATTTTAAAATCTGGCGCCCCCTGCCTCTTGAGATTTGCACATAAACTGGCCGTTTATACATACATATTTCATCTAAGGTGGTTGCTAAACAACAAATTCTGTTTTGTTCAGATGCCAGCGTCGCGTGCGCCACTGCGACTACGGCGAAGCCTCGCGCGTCTTCCGAAGGGTTGTCAAAGACGCCGCGGCCTTTGTCCAACATTCTACCGTCGGGCAGCATCAGACCAGCCTCGTCGGTCTCCACGCAGACCAGCGCGAACCAAGCGCAGAATCAGGCAAGTACATTTAAAAAAATTCCATAGTCATTAATTTATAATATTATTATTACCGTTTACCTGAAATAAATTTTACTACCTGATTTAAAAAAAAAACGTCTCTAGGTGTGGATATAATCCATCTAAGGTTAATCTCGTCAATTAAAAAATCAAGTCTAAAACTTTTTAGAGCGGCATACTATTATTACTTCATATATTTTAATATGGAGATGATGAAGACTTCCGACAAGAATAAAGGCTCTTGCATTAAATAAAGCCTGGTCTCTATTTATGATTTAAAAATATAATTATGTGTGTTAATTTCCTCTAGGCTAAACATCGCGGTAAACCTGGCGTGCGATCGCCCGCGCCGACAGCAAAACAAGATGCGGCTAACCAAACTAATAAAATGCAGCACCAAATGCAACAACCGAAACAGCAGTATGTACAATTACTTCAAATACTCGAAATATATTATTAAGTTAGGTAAAAAATACAACTCAGCCACGTTACGATATATTTTGTGTTGCTTATAGATAGGTAAGTCTAAATATTTGTTGCAAATCATGGTTGAAATTTTTGTTAGAGCGAATACATTCTTACGTTACGATACTAGGTATACAACAGGTATTACCTTACCTCAACACATCCCTTATTTTATAGAGCTTTGTCGACATCGCTTACTATAGAAGTACAGATAATCAAATATTTAGTTACTACAAACTGCAAAAAATCAAAAGATTGTGAGTTTTATATCAATTCAACATGAAGATAAAAGTGAGTATGTGAAATTTGTCAGTCTCAGGTTACTTGGCTGCCGTCTTTTATAAGATACCCCATACATTCGCTACACTCCAATTCCACTCTTATTCACGCTGTTTTAAAGGTTATTTTCATACTTCCATTAGATTAAATATCACATTTGTATTGTACAGACTCCTTGTGATGAATTCGAGCGGGCAAATGGCCCAGATAACCAGCGTACAAGACAAACAGCCCATGAACAAAACTATACAGCAACAGGCGATATTGCAGCAACAGATGCAGGTAACTAAGGTGATTTTCGAATACTATTCTTTTATTTTTCATAGTTGCTTTTGACTGATACCTACCAACAAATTAAAAATGATATAAAGGCATTACTCTTTAAAAAATGGCGCTAAAACATCATCATCATGTAATAAGATCCAAACTCATACAACTAAACTTCAATACTAACTCGACAGACAAAACAAAATACTTTGACAAATCAAATATGTGCAAGTGAATTCGGCCCTCCATTTATTGGGTAAAATAATATAATAGAATCGCCGTGTTGATCGCAGTTTGCGTGGAACCACTTTGTAGAGCAGTTCGTATTCCATAGTATTATTATTTCGTTGAATAAATTCATTATTTTTTATTGTAATTATAGGAAATCACTTTATCCTATTTAGTGTTCAACGTGAGAGGTGTCCTGTAGTGAAGATATAATTATTGATATGGTAGAGATTCTAGTTGTCACTCACCGGAATTATAAAGCTACAGGTGATTGTGATTTGGCTATTCCATAACAAAAAGAACTGCAAAATGTATCTGATCATTGAGACAGTTAAAACTTGAGAACAAAAATATGTTAAGTAAGATTGACACAAATCCCTCAAATATAGAATCTCAAAAAAGAAGCTATTTTTATCTCTTTCTCTTCTAGTTTATTATATTATTAAGATTGTTAGCGAAAGATCCCTGTGAATCGAAAGTTATATTTTAATTTGAATATTTTATGATTGTTTCTATTTTAATAATAAATACAGGGGTAGTTTGAAGGATACATCTAATTTTCAGCGTTGATCCAAATGTAAACTCCAGGATTTTATTTCAGGAAATTTGTCCAAATCAAATTGCCTTAGATTTATAAGTTAAATGTCGACCTTCATAAGGTTATAGTAACTATCATTTTATTAACAGCAGCAGCAACAACAACAACAACAGCAGCAGCAGCAACAACAACAGCAACAGTTGATGCATCAACAACAACAACAGACCCAACAGATGGTCCAACATTATCAACAGCAAGGTGTGATACTTTTCCTATAATTATGAAATCGCTATTTTATATGTTATCAACTTGCTATTTTAGTGTTTTTAAAGGAAGAATCTATTTAAATTAGTTTTGAACATAAATTCAGTTTTCTGATTTTACTTTCCGCATCCTGTTATTGTGTAATCTTGTACAAAACAAAACGCAAAGTTTCATCTCGCTTTTACTATCGTGTCGTACTTTGGCATTGTAATAAGAACTTATCATCATCATAGTTCCTAGGTTTTGTTTTATTATTATACACTTCTGGACACATCTATTGGCCCACCATAGAGTTTAGGTTTCGATGGCCCCTACCGAAATATGATTGCTAGATTGAACAAAAACTGTTGATGCAGTTTTAAACCTGATACATTTTACCATCTTTTTCGATCGTATTGTTTTAAATTTGAATTCAGAATACCATACGACATGGAGCTACGCCTAACAAGTCGGATATGCGCCTTGTTAATGGCAATTGATTTTTGAATAAAAAACATGTTTTATCAAATAAAGGTTTAATTTAATAACGCGTGTTGTATCCATGGGCATCTACCACAGCTCTCATACGATTAGGCATAGAGTTTATCAACCGCTCTATGAAATTTTGAGGGATCATCTCCCATTCCTCTTCTATGGCAGTTTTCAACTCCTGCATCGTCTGGGCAACTGACTGACGAGCCCTAAAACGTCTTTTTAGCTCGTCCCACATGTGCTCAATGGGGTTCATGTCTGGCCTTCTGGCTGGCCAGTCCATAACTGTGATGTTCACATCCCGAAGATATTCCCTGACGATGCCGGCCGCATGGGCTCTTGCATTATCATGCATAAAAAGGAAATTTGGGCCCACATAGTCCGCGTATGGTATCACGTGAGGTTCTAAGCACTCACGAATGTTCCTTTCAGCATTTAATATTGGCAGCCGTGGTCCTGTAACAACCTCAAGTTGAGTTTTGCCGCTCGCGGATATACCGCCCCAGACAGTCTATGAGCCACCGCCATAAGCAACCCTCTCTTCAAAGCAGCATTGTGCGAAACGCTCTCCCTTACGTCGGTAGACCATCTTCCTTCAGAAAAGAGTACACGGCTCCAATCTTGCTGTGTCCAATTTAAATGACTGCGTGCGAAATGAAGGCGCGCTGTTCGGTGGGCTCGCGTTAGTTTGGGCCCATTAGCTGGCTTGTGTGGTACCATATCGCGTTCTTTTAACCTGCTCCGAACAGTTCGAGCGCTCGCAGATACTCCGTGGAAGTCGCGAATTTGTTTTTGTATTTCAATGGAGGTAAGGTGACAATTTCTCAAGCTGGTCGTCACGATGAATCGATCCTGCCTTTCAGCTGTGACCCGAGATCGTGGCCTTCCTTGGCGACGAACAAAGCCGCCAGTCTCTAGGTACCTCCAATAAACATTTCCGACCGCAGATCGACTTAAATTAAGTTGAGCACTCACGTTTCTTTGGGTGTGTCCGGCCTGAATAAGTGCCACAGCTTGGGCGGCGACTTCAGGTGAAGTATCCATAGATTATTGATAGAACCTCATCTTAATGTTAAGAATAAGTAATGTTTGTTGCAAAACCAAAGATATCAATCACTTTTTCAAGAATTAAATCCAAGTAAACCAATAAAACCAAGTTTTCTTAGTATTCGATTGTTTGATATCAACAAACAGGCTCCAAATTGTCTTTTGTTTCTTTAAATTTTTTTTAATTTATTCAGCTTTGGCTCCTGGGCCATCAGCAAAAAAGAATTACTACAATGGTATTCTAGAGACTTACATAGGTAATATTACAAATTTTGTTATAAATTTACAGATAAAACAAAAACATAACATCCAGAAGAATAGAATGAGAAATAACAAAAGAAAAATATATATACTCCACAAATTAACAACAACAAAAAAAACAACTTAAATTTGACCAAAAGTATTTACAATAAAATTATAAATATGATAATACGTCTTGATATTGGTAAGCAATTTTTGGGCAGAGTTCGGAATATCATTTTCAAAAATTTCAGTAAATTCTGTTATCAGTAATAAACGCTGTATTGAAAATTTTGGGCATATAAATAAAATATGGTCAATATCACAAAAAAGTGAACCACAGTGAGGACAACTAGCATCCTCCCTGAGCTTTAGACGATGTAAGTGGGACGGAATTCGGCTGTGACCAATTCTTAAGCGACTCAAAGTGGTGATGAAACTTCTACCCAAAAATTTTGTATGTTTCTCAAACCATGCGTTAGTACATGGAATGGGAACAATTTGCTCTAACCATTTTCCTTTGATCAATCTACTGGAAGAGAGCAAAGCAATCCAACGTTTTACCATATTTTCTTTGACAAACAAAAGTAAGTCAGATACAGGAACTTTGTAATCACAAATATCGTTTCTTTAAATTCTGTGTTCGAAATTCAAAAAAAGACTATTGAATGAAATTGTGAATGTGCCAGGTTCAAAACTGCATAAAAACTTTTTGCTCGACGTAATATAAAATTTTAGCTAGGACCAAACAAAACTGAAAATACAGGGTGGGCCAATAGATGTCTCCAGAAGTGTATTTGAATCATACTAATATTATAAATGTGAGAGTTTTGTAAGTTTGTGTGTTTCTGTTTGATAAAAAATAACGCAGAAACTACTGAACGTATTCGGATGAAATTTGGTACGCATATAGTTTACGACCTGGATTGAGACATAGGATACTTTTTATCCCGAAAAAAATATTAGGGTCATGAGGGATTCTCAAAAAACCCGGACGAAGTCGCGGGCGGCCGTTAGTTGCATTTTTTTTTTATTATAGGTATGACGTTAAGCATGCAGCCAGGAACTCTACCAGTGGGTTCTGTGGCTCAATCTATTCCCATGACTGGAATTCCACAGACTATATCTATGGTGCAACAGATACATCCTGTAAGTATTGCTACTTATATCAATGAAGTAAAATATTGATTCCATATATTAAATTAGTTTTTTGGGTTCCGTACCCAAAGCGTAAAAGTGGAACACTATTGCTGTCACTCTGTCGTCTGTCTGTCTGTCCGTATGTCACGGGTCTCTAGATTGTAAACGGAACGAGTTGCCGAATATTTAGTTAAAAGTTCAATTAAAATATTTTTCATGGGGAAAAATATTTTAATATTTTTTATATATATACATGAAAAGGAGAATTGAGTTTTTAAGTTAGAAAATTTTGATATATGATTCTCCATATCCTGTATTTAACCAGCAAATACTGAAATCGCCGATTCATAATGTACGTAAGTGGTGACGAAAACAAACAAATGATTTTTCCTATCGCGGCTTGTTGTACGGAACTATTTGTGCGCGAGTTCGACTCTCATTTGGCCGGTTTTGATTTGTTTTTAATATGATATTTTAACAATAAGATAATTGTGTTTTGTTTACCAAGAGATTCTTAACTATTCTAAGGTAAAAAACATTTTATACAACGATTATGACATCGCATAAACAACATAAATGCAAAGGATTCGTAAACCCGATTTGACAACAATGCTATTACCGAACTAAAATAGTGATATTTTTCACTTAGAATCACTCGATAAACAAACATATATTTATTGGGTGAGAGAGACGGAGGGTTATGAAGCCCAATAGTTTGTCTATGTATTCGTTGTTTTTTGTCATTATGTATAGAGTTATAAATTTCATGTGAGTCAGCTCCATAGAGGTATAAGAATAGAGTAGGGGAGATATAGACTACTACAAGTGGAATTGTCCCTCTAATAGAAAGAGAAAGAAGATGAGAGACCGCTAGCTTTCTCTCTCTAATCGCGCATGCGCATTGGCAACCGTAACAGAGTCACAAGAGAGAGAGATAGCCAGCGGTCTCTCATCTTCTTTCTCTTTCTCCTAGACGGACACTTTTAGAGCCACCTTCCCCACTCTATTCTTATATCTCTATGGTCAGCTCAGTCCTATATCCTTGTCTATGGTTATAATAAACACTTAAATAAACCATTTACATTATTACAGTTGAGCGGAATGGCTCAGCCTGGAACACTTGTGGGGCAGATTAACAGCGGACAACAACAACAGAACGCTTCTCTTACTCAAGTGCAACCTCAGGTATGTAATCTTATTTCTTCTATTACATAACTATCTCAACATTGGTTTATTAACAGCTATTTCAATAATAAAATGAAAGAAATACATCTATAATCTGTAATAACTTTACCCATAGACAATAGTCAGCAACGGCATAGTGCAGACTTCTGTAGGCATGGCGGTGCAACAGCAGCCAGGGTTGGCTCACGCGACCTCAATGCAGACCGTGAGTAACATTTCATTACCATAAGATTATTGACCATAAGAGCTTTATAAAAATGCTTCATATGACCATAAGAGCTTTATAAAAATGCTTCATATGGGTTACAATTATTACTTATCCAATCACTACCAATAATAATTTTTAAAATATTTCAATAATGATATAAGTAGCAGATTAATAAATTCCTATTCTACCGTTTCAAAAGTTTGATAAATCAATAACTGTAAAATTATATGATAAGCTTTAAACGATAATTCATATGATACCTAATTTTTAATGTGAATGAAGAAGGGCTTGAGTGGTGCTCAAGCACTTGTGTGCACAAAATGTGTCCCATTGATTGGGACACATAGGGCTAGGGTATTTAATATCGTTGATTTTGGTATGGAAATATCTTTATATTAACGATAATTAAGTTCACTGTGCAAATATATGATTGGAGACAACATAAAAAAGAATTTCATAGGTTTTTTTCTATTTATAACATGTAATTGAAGAAAAATAAAATAAGTTATTTTTTTTATGAAGATAGAATGTATTAATCATGTGTTTGCTTTGTAAAGAAGTTACATTAACATTGTTACAAGTACTTTTCCCTCTGAGCTGAGGCTTGAACTCGATCAACTTGGCTTAATAGCTAACTGTCAATTAAATAGGTCAAGTTCTTTATGACAATATTTAACTTCCCGTTAATAGGTATTGCAAAATTATACAGTTTCAAACGATAAAGTTCAAAAACCAACAAAAATCGCGGTAGAAACGATGCTTATTCTGAACTTTCTATTCTTTAATAAGAATCTTTCCAAAATCTATTCTGCTTTCTTTAACCCTGAAAATGTAAATCTTTTATATGTTCACCTTCTTCGTGTATATCATATTCAGTAATCATGTTATAGTATCACATAATATTATCATTATATCCGAGTAAAGGTAGCGGCAAACTTCTTGACCTAAACCGTAGACAGATAAACTCGCGCCGTAGACATTTGTCTTAGTAAAATTGCTACTGCGCAGGCTTCGTGGTCCACGGTTTAACTCAAGCCGCCTTATTACAAAACGTAGACTAAAGTTAAACTTGGGCTTAAACTGATGCTGTCACTTTTAAAAGGACAGAGACAACATTAGGTTTAAACCAAGACTAACTTTAGTCTGCGTTTTGGAATAAGGGGGAAAAAGTTTGACTGGGTGTATAAATATATAAATATTTATATTATTGTCATAATATCCGAGTGAATATTTATGTATGCGCTTTGTAACGGCGGTTGGCAGTCGGGGCTCGCGCTCGATGGTGCTTCTCTGCTGTCGACGCCTCTCGTACAGGTCTCCCCGGCGATTTTGCACCAAGAGGTAGTAGACTCAACATACTTTCCGAACCAATGGTTATACCAAACCTCCAAATGCGATGTAAATGCAAGCTTTTCCTGTGATACCTATAGAGTAGGCATGATGACTAACTTCTTTTTCTTCGTCTATGAGGTTGATTATCAAAAAGTATCAGACAGATATTTTTTATTTTTTCGCATATTTGAAGTGTCGCACGACATCGCGCTATAATTTTTACTTAAAAGTGACGTCACGAGCCGCCTTCAACCAACTTTGACGCGCTTTAAATTTGTCATGGTGATTGGTAAAAAAATATTGTATCCTTTATTTTTTGATAATCTCTAAATAAAATTTCGTTTACAGCGTATTATTCCTATTCCATGATAGGTATACTTTGATTAATTAGTAAATAACGTTTAAAAGAAAGCGTATCGAAAAATTTGATCCACTCACACTTCCTCATCAGCACATGGTTGTTTTTTGTTTCATAGAATGATTAGCAGCTTATGCAAAATCGAGTAGAAACAACTGATTTAAATATTATTCTTTAGATATGGCAAATGTTTTTTTTTATAAAATGTTAAAAGTACGGACTCAGTATAAAATAACTAGCTAAGCCATTATTAGTTCTTTAATCACAATAAGATCTTTGAACCTTAAAGATCACATAATAAGATTATCTACAAAATACTTTCACAGAATAGCTTACATTTAAAACGTATTAAAGAGAAGAAGATAATAAACCCTTGACTGTTTCATGTAGTTCTTACTATCACATTCTCAAATCATTCTTAACATTCATCATCATTTTTAACATTCATCGTTAACTATTATTCGGTATATTTATCGTTCATTAGCTTCATGTTCACTAATGGGTTGGGCACATTCACATTCTTTTAGGATTGTGTATAGCAAATTTTATTTATTGCATATATGGTTTCTTCAATATTAATATACTGCTTGTTTTAATCAAAATACTGACTTGATTATTTTTTAATATTTAATTAATATTTTCTAATATTTATGTATTATTATTGCACGTGTTAGATTTTAGTAGCAATACCATGATTGAGGTAAAGAGCATGTTTCAATATTATGTGTAAATGCAATAGTCTTTTTCTTAATCTTAGGAAAGTGTTTATCAATGTTACCTACAATAGTTCAAACTATAGATCTGTAATATTGATGAAGAATTAGTTTTACAGTTAAATATTATTACAATACGGTACTTTATAGGTTTAAATAAGCATGATACGTTTTTTAATAGTTGTGATATTGTATTAGGTAAACATATATTTTAGTAATTATGCCGCGGATTTTTTTTGTGTGCTAAGTGTCACTAAACGTTTGCATCACAAGTCTGCGCTCATACGCAGTGCGTATTACGCACTAGTGAGTAACCGTGTATTACGCACTAGTGAGTAACCGTGTAGGAGCACACGCTGTAGACGCAGTGAAGTCCCTCAAAGGGGATCTCGCGGTTCCGCACTTAACAGCGTAGAGAGTGTTCGCAGGGCAGTATGCCGTAAGCGCTCGTAAGCCACGCGGACTGCTTCGGCTTCTCCGTTTCGCATCGTGAGATTTGCGAAAGGCCAGGTGTGAGGTCGGTTCGTTGGTATGCTCCTTAAGGGCGCCAACGTCTGTAAATAGAGGTTTTGCCTGCGTAATAAAAAAAAAGGCGCACGTGCTGTGGCATATAATAATAAAAATGCCAGTGCGTATGAGCGCTTATAATGTAAAATAAAACGGGAAACGAAACAAAGCATGTAGCGTTCTTTTGACAGCTAGTTTACAAACCTTTGGCTGCAACGTCATCATAAACTCTGGTTTGCCAACCCTGGAAGTTTTCGATCAAGTATTAATAGATCATAAAGAAATCTTTTCTCAAAAACTTCAGATATATAATCGATTCCTTTTGTCAATGTAGACTATTGCTTCCGAAATTGTAATACCATTAATTGATGCTCCATTTTTTCACTTTCAATTGGGGTTTTAAACAAGAAAACTTTAATCCCAATAAACTACGTTGCGTTGAATTCGGTTTAGAAGGATGGTTTTGTGAATTTGGTATTTTTAGTAGATCAAGATAAGTACTTTTTGGTACTGTGCCCAAGCTTTTAATTCAAACGGAGTTTGTACGACTGAAATTTGTTCCAAAAAAATTGATGTAATAAGTACCGTCTTTTTTATATTGGCATGTTAAGTTATGGGTGTAATAACGGTATATTTTAAGAAGTAAACAGCGCTTTCGATATGTGTTTGTTTACTTAAACTATGCGGGATTTGTATTCTATTAAATGTTTATTTTTATCCATAGGCATCAGTGCCATAGCTAAATACGTTTCTAATAAAAATAATTCTTAATATGAAATTAAAACTAAAATAGAAAGCCTTGTTATCGTTACTTGCAGCCGCATTCAGGGACGCCATGTTCGTCAATTACATACTGTCCTAATACTTCCAACCTAATAGTCCCAATTACTATAATAATATACTGTTTAATCAAACTTTAAAAAAAGATTGCCGTCTCTGATTGCGGGCGTAAGTAACAATAGTTCAATATTAATAACGGTAATTTCTTTAGTAGAAACACTGCACGCTTGTTAATCTCATGGATCTAATCCAATTGTAAATAATAGGTCTCTGGTAGCAACATCAACTCGCCGCAGATCACTTTGCAATCAGCCCAAGGCACTATGGGGCTGATAGCTGCTCCAGTACAGGGCTCAGTGTTGCCCCTACAGTCGCAAACCACGCTGGTGGCTCACGTCAAAAGTGAGGACGACAAGACGCAAGCTCTCGCGCCGCCAGTCAGCGTGGTAAGATTTTCCAGGGATAATTACGCCGCTAGATGGCGTTGATACGCATAGCTACGCCAGTACAGGGCGCAACTCACAACCAGAGTCAGGACAAGATCCAAACACTCGCGCGGTCAGTCATCGTGGTAAGACTTTCCAGAGATATTTACGCCGCTAGATAGAGGGTCTTTTATAGAGCGATTCGAAGTGAAGTTAGCACAAGTTGCTGCGCTGTAAAGAAACTGTAAGAAGATGTAGGTGCGCGCAGGATATTACTGAACTAAAACTGCTCAAAGAAGCTCACACTTAACTTTATAGCCGCCATTACGTTTAAATCGCATAATACTAGGAAATAAATTATAGATACTATTTCTGTTTGAATATATAGACAACATTGGCGCTTTGACAGATGTTTGTGCTGTTTAATACAATATTATTGAAAACCCTCATAAGAGAAGAATTTAGTCATAGAAAACTTACTTTTCAAGTTCAGCACAAACAGTATTAATCACACTAATATTATAAAGGCGAAAGTTTGTGAGTGTGTGAGAGCATCACAAACAGTATTAATCACACTAATATTATAAAGTCGAAAGTTTTGTGAGTGTGTTTGTTTGTTACTTCTTCATGTCTAAAATGGCTGGAGCGATTTTAATAAAATTAGCTGACAGTTAGCTGACACCCTAGATTAACACATAGGCTACGTTTTACTGCGGGAAAATATCCCTAATAAACCGCGGGTTCCACATATCTTAACATTACAAAGAATAAATGCGCCATTATCTATTTCTTATAATAGGGATCAGTTGGTGTTTCAGTTGTACTACCTTCATCAGGCTTTCGCCTCGTGTATTATACAAATAATTTTCTTATTCTATATCTATAAAAATCAATTGTCGTTTGTTTGTCTTGCTAAAACTCGAGAATGGCTGAGCCGTTTTAGCTGATTTTGGTTTTGAAATGTTTGTCGTAGTCCAGGGAAGGTTTAAACGTTGAGAAAATATGGAAAAATTGCGAGGAAGATGGTAAAATCAACAATTGAAATTGTGCCCATAATTGTTTTCCATATAAACTGTTCTACCTACTTTCCTGTCAAATATACATGACATTACCGATCAAAATATTCAGCCATTTTAGCGGAAGAAGAGTTTTAATCTCGTTAGGATGCTCTCGTGCTACGTAGTACACCGGGTCATCTCTAGTAATGAATATAAAGCAGTTTATAGTAAACACATATTACATTCGTAGGCGCCAGTGGTCCAGCAGATTGCACCTCAACCCATCGTGACTTCAGACGCGGCCACGGAGCCTTCTTCGAGCACACCCTTCAGTACCGCCTCTGCTGCCGCTACGGCTGAAGCGGTCTCCACAAACGCTTCTACTGGTGGTGAGTTAAAGACTATATCTCATTCATGGCACTGGTAGGCGCCATATTCACGGGATAAACACTAGAGAACCGAGGTGAGAGCCTCGCCGTCCTATCACTTTCATTACAAACTCTATAGAACAATCTTAATAGTGATACAGAACACGTGACGAAAATGGTGATAGAGACAGTGAATAAGTGGCGTACTGTTTACTGTTAATCACAGACTCCGATAGAAACCATTATATGACGACGACCTCTGTGGCCGAGTGGTTTATACGCCGGGTTTCACGGTGTCGCCGACTCGAGAGGTCCCGGGTTCAAATCCCAGAGGGGGCAAATGTTTGTAATTACGAACATTTGTACTCCAGTCATGGATGTTTAATGTGTATTTCTATATAAATATACTTATATATGTACTGTATCGTTATCCTAGTATCCCATAACACAAGCCTTACAGTGCTTACTTTGGGGCTAGGCTAATTGATGTGAGTTTTAGAAATATTTATTTATTTATTATTTATTTAAAGCTGAGGAGCTCGATGGTGCAGGTGGTTAGCGCGTTCGGCTGCGATGGTTGAAGTTAAGCAACTTTCGCAGTGGTCGGTCATTGGATGGGTGACCAAAAATATCTATCTAAAGTTCCTCCGTGCTTCCTTCCTTCCTTCGTTAAGCCGTTGGTCCCGGCTGCTTCTGCAGTCGTTAGCACCCGCCAATCTGCACTGGGCCCTCGTGGTGGGTCATGGCCCAATCTCCCTATTCCATCCATAGGGAAGGCCTGTGCCCCAGCAGTGGGGACATTAGTAAGCTGATGATGATGACGATGATTTATTTAAACATCCATATAGGTTCAGACTCCAAATCCAGCCCCATGAAAGTAGAACCATCATCGGAGCCCCAGGCGGCCACTGCGCTCGCTGCCGTTTCCACTTCCGATACAGCTGCGACAGCAACTGCCACCGCCGCGTCTGCGCCCCAATCCGCTGCCACTCCGACCACCGTCGTGCCCAGTAGTGCCCAACAGACCACACCGGTCGCGCCTCAGGTAGGTTAATATAATTTTATTGCAAAAACTACTGAACGAATTTGGATAAAATTTGATGAGCATATAGTTTATGATCTGGATTGAGCACTTACTTTTTATCTCGAAAAAATGTTAGGTTCCTGAGGGATTCTCAAAAAAACTAGAGTTTAGCGGCCGCTGGTGAATAAATAAATGGTCATGTTCACTCAGGTTGTGACCACTATGGCGTCATCGACTTCCTCATCGGCCACGATAACTGCGTCGATCACTGCGCCAGTCTCGACGGGTGGATCGACGCCGTTGTTCAAGGGCTCGACATGTGCTCCAAGACACATGAGCCAACAAGCGGCGCATGGTAAGTTAAACAATATTGTATGACTCATCAAATACATTACATAATATTATAGCTAGTTATTAAAAATAGCTAGTTATTAAAAATAAATAATTATTATAGGTAGTTTCTAAAAAGAGAACAAGTCAAGAGACTTCTGAGCTTTCGGGCAAAAAACACCCGAACTCTTAGCACAAACCAGTATCGAATTCTAATAGTTGAATTCGATCTCGATACGCGTCAAATGTTAACAAGTTTTGTATGGAAATTTGAACAGCGCCACAACGGATGTAACAAGAATTAAAAATCTTCCATACAAAACTTTTGACATTTGCCGCGTATCGAGATTGAATCAAATGCGACTATTCGAATTGTATAGTTGTTCGTGCTAAGGATACTGCTTAGTGTTTATCGAGAAAAGACGACGCCTTTTAGTTATTTATTTAGTTTTACGCCCTTTACGATAATAATGGTGTCGTTTCTGGCATGGTTCTCTAAAATTATAACTAAATCACATCAAGCTCTCCTTTTCATTATGTATAGAGAACGACAAGGATACACTGATGTCAAATTTAATTTTAAGCTTAGAGAGTCATGCTAGAATCGACGCCAATGTAATTTTATTTTTTTTCAATAAATAATAAGTAAAGGACTTCGACGAAATCAGCCCTAGCATGCCCTAAAGAATGACCTTCACTATTATTTTTCTATTATTTTTTTAACTTATTAGCAATTAATGATAGTAATAGTTTATTGGCTTCTTTAATATTTTATTATTAAATGGGTGATTCTGTTAAAAAGTTGTGCCAAGATTGTTTACCTTAATAAATGCAATATAGGTGACCATAGGTATTTATCAACATAAAAATAGAACCAGGTACCTTAGTTTATAATACTTATTACTAGTATTAATATTATATTTATAAAGAGATTATATCTGAAATTATGTAAAGATAGTTTATACTCCCATCCCATGTAATATCTGTTTATTTTTATGAAAATCATAATGATAACCAGGTACATACCTAATTACCGATAGTAAAATATAGAAACAGGTAAATGGAAAGACTGAACATTTCATTTGAAAAGAAATCTATTATTACTACAGGTAGGTATAGTTATTATATAGGTGCAAACTGCCAACACTCGTAAATCAATATGAATATAAGCATTTATTATTTTTATTATTAATTGCATTTTATGTTCATTTAATGCATATTATTTAAGTGCTTACATAGAGGTAAACACTAAATCTATTCAGAATATATAAAGTGTACATCTTTTACGATTAAGTATAATAATTATAACCTCAAAATCTAATACATTCTGTAGTAGGCCACGGTTCCTCAAATTGTCCGTATCTCAACAAATGCCTAATTAGAGTTTATGAATGATTCCGAACACAACTAGCATTTTCTCATTGCTGGGCGTTCTAGGGCATTTAATGTATGGGGAACGAGCAATGTCCTTTTATTGATTCTACTTTATTAGTCTAATAATTACTTAAACAAGTTGAAATGGTATAGATTTTACAAACAGAGATAAGCTCTAATAAGTGTCTTATTGTTTCAATTACTCCAGATAAAGGTTTACCGAAAGCAATGGTGAAACCAAACATTCTCACTCACGTCATAGAGGGATACGTCATACAAGAAGCAGGGGAACCATTCGCTGTAAGTATAATTTTTAAAGTCCCTTATAAATAACTATCAACTTAGTAGTTGTTAAAGGGGGTGCTTAGTAATTATTTGATATTATGTAAATACATAGTTACATTATAAAGTTTATCTTAGCTTATAGAAAGATTTATTATTTACAGTTTTATTTTTCTTATTTAACGATGTATTTGCACCTCGAGTCTTTTTTTCATCACAATCCGAGATTACGGATGTTAAAGTACTATCGAGTAAGATTATTTTTCTCCAAGAATCGAAAACTCTGCCCTTAGTTTAAGCCTCGTAACAATTTTATTATTGGAGAAGCATTGTGAGAGCGCGGAATGGTTCCGGATTTGATTTTTGTTGAATTTAGAAAAGTGTTCGTCAATGTGGAGTATTGTATTTTTATACTTGTAGTAATAGACTCGTTGTCGTTTATACTTATGTAAGAATGTAACATAGATAAAAATCTAGTGGAAATGTATAAGATCAAAATAAAACCTAAGAACAAGTGCAAGGCAGATAGACAGTTGCTTTCACCATACTTCCATTCCTTATCTTAGTATTATTATACTAGCTCTAGCTGTCCCAGTGAACTTCGTACCGCCATAAAAAATATGGGTTGGTGGTAGAAGGGTGAAAATTTAGGGTTATATGTATTTTTGTATGATGTATCATAAAAAAATAAAATTTTGTCCAAAAAAAATACATAATTTAAGGGTGGACCACGCTTATCTTTTAGCGGGATGAAAAATAGATGTTGTCTATGATGACCTACTGAATATGCATTGAAAATTTCACGAAAATCGGTCGAGCCGTTTCGGAGTAGTTCAATTACGCACACCGAGACACGAGAATTTTATATATTAGATATAATAAATGCTGCTTTATTAACTGACTTCAAAACAGAAAGAGGTTCTATGTTCGACTGTATATTTTTATAACTGATTTTATATTGGGTCATACTGTTATCGACGCCTAAATAAACTCGACAGAGAAGTAAACTAAGGAGTCCATAAAATACAGTGGTTAAATTTTTGTTCTACGACAAATATTGACGAAGTTATGACCAAAATACTAAACGAATTTTCGGCTGGCCGTTTGATGGCTGTGACGTCACACAGCTCTAGCACTCGGGCGCTAGCGTGCGTAGAGACGCTACTGAAGTTCGACCGGACTGAAACACGATCAAGCTCTGTGATATCACACGTTTCGGCTGCCGGTGAATATTGGCTATCATAAAATTAGTTATAAAATCGCAACTCATAAACCGAATTCGATGATTTAAAAAGTATATTAAAAAAAAACAATTAGATCATTATAATGTTGATTTTGAGTTGATTTGTTAACCTAGTAATGATCCTCATTGCGGTGCGATGACGCACTGCACGACGCGTCGCGTAATTATATGGTACAATGATTCGGATGTAGGATGACTTTAGATTGAAATCTACGGCAGCATCGCAAGAAAAGTATCGACGTCGCTGTTTTTTTTTGTATCAATATGTTGTTGTTAATGTTGTCGTCGTGTAATACGATTGATGTGATTATGGTTTTGTGTTTTTCACACTTGTTTTCTTTGCAGGTAAACCGTCCGTTGCGTGAATGGGGCACAGCTGATAAAGAACAGGACAAAGAAAATAAATTGCCTTCGGCTGATGATCCACCACGTAAGTGCTTGCTTGCCTTTTTGATACGACGCATTGCTTTTTTTGTCTCCTTTCACAAACTGAGAAACTTTAGCAACCGTACTCTGACTTTAGAAACTCAACGCTAAAAATATTGATTGGTGGCAGTTCATTTTAGGAAAATGAGCTCTTTGCCAAAGAAAATTACAGGTCAGCAAGGCGTGGATGGCTGTTGTTGCAGGTATAGGTCGCGGCAAAAATCATGAGCAAAACCACAGAAAATAAACTTACGCATTTACATTTTTTTACGCAAAATTGCTACTGCGCAGGCTGCCTTGTCTATGGTCGTTGCTCAAGAAGTTTGCCAGGATGTTTTAAATTGCTGCTAGCTATCTTTTGCGTCTGGATTTTACCGTCACTTAACATTAGTAAGGGTTTTAGATCCTTTTATAAAAAATCTATCAACTTTTAAACAGGCAAAAAGCAGAAGATGGAAACGACATCTACCCTACCCCGAATCAGTTCGAGCCACGAAGGCAGTGAGACGCAGAGCTCGGCGAAGGCGGAAGCGGCAGCGAGCAGCGAATCTGCTGACACTGCGACCGCGCCTGACGACCATCCCAAGATACCGAACGCCAACAAGTGGAGCGTGAGTACTGTCAATAATATCTATATGTACTGACATCGACCCCTCATCAGTTCGGGCCACGAAGGCATCGAGTTCGCCGACACTGTGACTCGACGACCATCCCAAGATACCGAACGCCAACAAGTGGAGCGTGAGTATTGTCAATAATATCTATATATACTGACATCGACCCTGTATCATTTCGGGCCACGGAGGCATCTAGTTCGCCGACACTGTGGCCCGACGACCATCCCAAGATACCGAACGCCAACAAGCGGAGTGTGAGTACTTTCAATAATATCTATGTATATACTGACATCGACCCCGCATCACTTCGAGCCATGAAGGCATCGAGGTCGCCGACACTGACCCGAAGACCATCCCAAGATACCGCACCCCAACAAGTGGAGTGTGAGTACTGTCAATAATATCTATATATACTGTCATCGACCTCAGTTCATGTCATCAGTTCGGGCCACGAAGGCATCGAGTTCGCCGACACTGTGGCCCGATGACCATCCCAAGATATCGAACGCCAACAAGTGGAGCGAATAAAACAGAGCTTCTTCTTTTCACCAACAAAAGGAAGCTACCCGAACTACAGTTACCAACACTGTTTAATACCAAACTCTCCCTATCAACACAAGTGAAATATCTAGGCGAAATCCTTGATAACAAATTGATCTGGGCGAATCATATTGAATTAAAAACAAAGAAGGCCTGCATAGCTTTAATCAGTGTAGAAGATTAGTTGGTAAAAAAATGGGGTCTTAGTCCAAAGATCACTCTTTGGCTATACACAGCAGTTATCAGGCCAGCAATAACCTACGGTTCAGTTGTTTGGTGGCCCAGGACCCAACTGACCACAGTGAAATCTAAACTCCAAAGTCTGCAGCGCTTGGCGAGCGTAGCAGCAACTGGATGCATGAGAACAACTCCATCCGCTGCATTAGATTACCTCTTGAACTTTAAGACCCCTAGACCTGGTCATACAAGAAGAGGCAAAAGCAGCAGCCTTGAGATTAAGATCTCTGGGCTTATGGAGATTAAACACTGTAACAACACACTACAATATTCTACAGAAGTGCATGAAGGAGATCCCACTCCTGGAGGCACCTATGGATAGAATATTGGGTCAACACGTCTTTAATCGAAGATACAACATCCAACTTACCGCGGAAAAGGCAGATTACTCTGGCGCCGGGGAAGTACGGATATACACAGATGGCTCCAAAACCGACATTGGTACTGGAGCCGGTGTTTTCTTGAATGACCTCAATATAAAAATATCTATACAACCTTAGACAAACTAAGCACAATCTTCCAGGCGGAATGTATTAGCATTACCAGAGCGGCACAGGCGGTTGCAGCCAGAGACATCAGAGAGTTCAACATTAAGATCATCTCTGACAGTGCATCCGTGCTTCAAGCCCTACGTAACAACACAATAAACTCTGCCCTGGTAATGAGTGCCACAATGCACTTCAATCCATTGCGGTAACCAACACGGTAACTCTGCAATGAATAAAAGGACACAGCAGCTCAATCGGAAACGATGCAGCAGACGAACTTGCTAAGAGAGGAGCAGACACAAAAGTGTATGGTCCGGAGCCTCTTCTGCGCATACCTCAGGCCCTAATTAAAACGTGGCTGCGTAAAAGAACTCAGAACCTACACTTGACTGAGTGGAAAACAGGTGAAGTATGCCGGCAAACGAAAAACGCAGTTCTGGCGGCAAACAAGAGACTACCCTTACCAGACTTAATAGGGACAAACTCCGCATAATTATAGGAACCCTAACAGGTCATTGTCCCCTAAACAAACACCTATACACAATAGGAGTAACAGACAGCCCCCTATGCAGAGTATGTATGGAGGCAGAGGAAACGCCACAGCATGTCATTATGGAATGCAGGAGTTTGGCCGACCAACGGGCACGACTTCTTCAGTCACCAGCATCGCTTCCGGAAGCTTGCAGCAGTCTGCCCAGACTGCTTTCCTTCTGGACTGACCTAGGCTGGCTGGAGTAAACGGGAATGTTTCAAGACACGCACAATGGTCCAATGATTAGGACTAAGTGCGGAAACCGCCCTGAAAAACTAAACTAAAGTGGAGCGTGAGTACTGTCAATAATATCTATATATACTGACATCGACCCCGCATCATTTCGGGCCACGAAGGCATCCAGTTCGCCGACACTGTGACCCGACGACCATCCCAAGATACCGAACGCCCACAAGTGGAGCGTGAGTATTGTCAATATTATCTATATATATACTGACATTGACCCCGGATCAGTTCAGGCCACGAAGGCATCCAGTTCGCCGACACCGTGACCCGACGACCATAATGGAGTTGGCTCACCTTGCAGAGACCAGGAATGCTTGGTGTAGGGCATGCCCCGGAGTAGATCCACCATCCTCCCTATTCACACAGAGGCAATGGGACGAGCCGCTCTGTTTGCATCTTCAGAGTGATCTTTTAGCATCCTCTGAAAGCGCCACTGAGCGTGCTCGCCTTCTTGCGGTCTTTCAGGTAGAGTCTGGTTACGGCTGCCAGCTCTACCTTCAGCTAATATCGGGACTTTGCTTGCACTCTCTCTGTCTTTAGCGATATCGCTTAAACTTGGCGTCAAGACATATCATCCCCATCACTGTCGTTGCGGTACTCGCGGCGGTGAGTTGGGACACCATGGCCTCTCATGCCAAATGAGCGCTAGCCGCCACGCCTGCATCAATGACATCATCCGCAGAGCTCTTGTCGCTGTCAATGTACCAGCGGTCCTTGAGCCTAATGGCATCTTTCGCGACGATGGCAAGAGACCTGACGGTATGACGCTCATTTCTTGGTAGCATGATCGTCCTCTTGTATGGGACGCAACTCGCGTGGATACGCTTGCTCCTTGCCATACAGGTAGTACCTCCCTAGCTGCAGGAGCAGCGGCGGCCTCTGCCGAGTGCTACAAGCGACGCAAATATTCAGCTCTCAATGAGAACTACATAGACACGAAAATTTTATATATTAGATTAAAACAAACAATAAAATATTGAATTCAAATAATAAATATTTCCAACACACACCAGTTAGCCTAGCCCCAAAGTAAGCACTGTAGGCTTGTGTTATGTGATACTAGGGTAACGGATAGAATACATATACTGATAGATATATAGAAATACATATGAAACATCCATGACTGGAGTACAAATGCTCGTATTATCATACAAACATCTGCTCCCACCGGGATTCGAACCTGGGACCTCTCGAGTAGGCGACACCTTGAAACCCGTCGTACAAAGCATTTGGCCTCGGAGGTCGTCAATAGAAAATATTTGTGATATTCAAATGCATGGTTAGCAATATAGCCGTCTCTTTTCCCCGCGGGCCGTACCTGCTATATTGCTAACAGCGCATTCAAAATTGCGCTGTACATTCAGAATATAGCAACAAGTCGTAAAAGGACATCGCTCGCTCCCCGTACATTGAATGCCCCAAAACGCACAGCAATGAGAAAGTGCTAGTTTTCGGAATCATTCATAAATTCTAACCAGAAATTTGTTGAAACACGGACAATTTGAGGAACCGTGGCCTACTAGAGAATGTATTAGATTTTGAGGTTATAATTATTATAAGTAATGAGTGTGACTGTGTTGAGGCAGTCTCTTAATACTTACTCTAAGGACGACATGACAGCAAATTGTGTAGTAGTTCAGAACTTTTAATTTTTCAAATTTTACCACAGAATGTCCGTTTACTTTGAATAATTTGTCATAAAGTAAAAAAATAATAGTAAGGAAATAATGAAGGACATTCGTTTGTGCTTGCTGGGGCAGTTTTCATCGATGTCCTTTTACGAGCTTGCATTTCGAACTGTCATAACTTTTCGACGCATGCGTTTTATTTATTGACTTGATTATGTTTAAATAATGCCTTATATTGTTTTTGACTACGCGATCATCTTACGGAGCTCCGTGGATCGTTTAATGTACCTTTTGTACAGGTTTCGGACACGAATTTGTTCGTGTTGTTGTATCTAGGATATTTAATATCGTTCTCCATTCTGGTAAAAGTAGAATCGTTGAAGCTCAATTTGAATGTAACTTATACCAAGTATAACCTGCTTGTTCGTTCCATTACACCTTAAATACCGGCAAAAATCCATCTCAAAGTTGCAGAAATGTTACTTATTAACGTGACTAAAAATATCATATATTTTTTTTATTATCGTTATATAGGTGGCAGAGGTTTGCGACTTCATCCGCAACATACCCGGGTGCGCGGGCTACGCGGACGAGTTCCTCATGCAAGAGGTCGATGGGGAAGCTTTGCTGCTCATCCGGCCCGAGCACTTAGTGATGGCGCTGTCCATGAAACTAGGCCCCGCGCTCAAGATAGTGGCCTGCATCGATTCACTGCGGCCCGACAGCGAGCAGACGGCGCAGGACCACGACTGAGGTCAGTGTGCCCTGCGTGGTGATGACGTCATACGTGATGCTGGCTGGGAATGTCCTCGAAACTGGGTCCCTCATGGTAGATCATTCTCTATTTCTCCTTATTCGACTAGATGACAGCGTGCACAGTTTCTAGTTTATTTTATTATGAAAAATATGCGTTTGAATCTGGCAATTCATATTATCCCTAAAAACCTACCTACCTACAGATCTGATATCGTCATCACATTCTTCCCTTTTTGTTGGTTACCTATTTAGAATGTTACCGACTTTAATAATTTTGAATTAATATCTACTTTCAATGTATTTTTGTTTATGCAGTCATATAGAATATCACAAATTGTACTTAACAAAAAAAAAAAAATTTTATTTTGGTATATTCAGATTAGCAATATGAAATAGATAGTAATATTATTGGGAGGGTGGGTCTTAGGGTGATACGGATGATGAAGATCAACCAAAGTTTAACCATTTATATTTTGTGTTGTTACAGACTTGCTGTCATTTCTGTTTCCCATGGACAGAAATAATTGAGAAATCTGTGTTCACGTTACTAGTAAGTATTGTATAGATGTCCATTTTAAAGTTCTTTAATCTATAACTAAATTATGTTTGTTTCTACTCACTACTTTAACTACATAAATGTTTTAGCGTTCATTTTTATCACATATATACTTAATATAAAAAAAAGTAAATCTAAACGGCATATTGTAATAAACTAAATGTGTTAATAATGCTCAATAACCTTCACGTGTCATTATTCATTAAAAAGAAAATACAGTAGAGAACTGTGTCCAAGATCTATTTATATGAAAACTGGTAACTTTATTTTAGAAGAAATCAGATTTTTTTAAGTTTATGTAAAAAAATATTGTGTAGACAGCAATAATTCTTTATGTATTAATTAGAGTATGTTGTCGTTTTAGTAATCACATAGAAACTCTATTTATGAAACTAAGCATTTAATTCGTTTACAATGTAGTTTCATTGTTGTATACGTTCTATTGGTAAGCTAACAATTGAGTTTGCTATCTTTTTATTTAATAACTTTAGATTCGTCTTACATCAGGGCTGATTTTCACGACTGCACGGATTTCTAGTTTATTAGATGATATTAGATACTTTGAAACATGACAATATAGTAATAAAAAGCTTGATGTGCTTAAAGTCCGGTTTTTCACCTTTCATGAATATCTTTATTTATCTTTATTGATTGTTTCTTAAATTTCAACATACCGATATTTGAAACGATTTGGTGAGAGAATGAATACTTACTTTTTTAACCCTTACTTTATGCCTTTCCTCACAATTTGTCTCTCTTTTTTGTGTACAGTCAGCAGCAGATAGGACGGAGCATCTAAAGTAGTAAATAATAGTCTAATTTTTAAGAGCGTTTAATTATTTACATACAGGCTGTAAAAAAGCCTTTAACGAAGTCGAAACCCGTATTTTCTACATCATGACGATCGTTTTCTTCTTCTGGACCATACCTGGGAAATTTATGGTTATGGAGATTTTGAAGGTCAAAGTTTTCAAGATTTATGCAATAATATTTTCAAAACATTATTCAGAAACTTTTTTATCGACACACTTACACACAGGCACATTGCTAGCGTAGCGCCACAGTAGTGCGCAGCGCTATACATTGCGTACTGAAAAAAAAATAATATATAAAAAAGAAATTATAAATATACAATTTTTTCCCGAGTATAATATTTTGTAATATTACTTGTTTGGGTATACAGAATGCGTAGTTTTAGTCTTTGTCATAGGTTTTTTACATCCTGTATATACAATGAACAGACATTGTAGTAATAAGCAATCAAGTTGGTTAAAATTGCATTATTAACTTTGTACATTAAGCAAAGCAAACAAATAGTTCATATATGTATCTGTGCAAACTATGTCGCTTGCACATTTGGCTACTCTGGATGCCTGACTATTCTGACATCTACATCTAAATGGAAATAAACACGTATTCGATGGTTTTAGCAAATATAGATGCTCCAATCTATTTGACACTGACGGTACGTATATGCTTGATTTCAATTCTATGAAATCCACATAGTCACAAACGCGATATTAAGTACTTTTTATTTTTCGACCCTATTATACCGGCACTTTACTTGGCTATTTGTGTTTGCCATTTGTAATATCAGTTTGTCCTTTTCATTTCTTATATAGCATAATAAGGACAGACCGTTGTCAACTTTGCAAATAGCAAATACGAATAGCCACGCTTTAAGACGCGAATCAATGTTCTCTCTAGGAATACAGAAATAGCATGTACTGTATTTAACATAGGATCGAATACTACTTATCCTTGTTACATTTTTATCTCTGCTGCCGTCATGAAAGCAAGCCCATGTGGTGCACTTAGGACAAATGTCGAAAGTTCCGCCTACTTAGATATAAGCTACACGTATTGGATGAACCTTAACTATCACGTACACATTTATGGTGATTTTGATTTTCGTTAATCGTCAAACGTCTCAATTCTTTTGTTACAACATGTATGTATTGTATATCTATCATCGATATTCGAAACTTGACGAATTCGAATTTCATAATGACTTCTAGTTGAAATGTTTAAGGAAAATTTCTTTTCTATTGATCTTTAACAATAAGCGCCTTTCCACACTTGGTAGCCTAGACCTCAGTGTTTGCCGAAGCAAAGTATATGGTGTTGACCTTAATATCGCAACTGGGTATACGGCAGTCGCGACGTGTGCAAAAGCACTGAATGCAAAAGTACTTAAAATGACATAGACTTTGTAAGAACAACATGTCCATGGTGCTGTGCGAACGAGCTTGTTCTATACATTACCGAAGTAGCAAAATAACACTCGTTTCATGTGTATGCTTATGTGAAATGCGTAATTTTGGTATTTCGGTACAACTTCACACTGCACCTTGAACACATCAATGTGAATATTTTGTAGAATTTAGTCGTAAAATACTTATATGTAATTTATGTTTGTGATCTTTCCGCTAGATTATAAACGCGGTCATTGCGTTTGTTATAGCGTTAATTTAATATAATACTGTCGTAGGTATGACAAAAATCTTTGTAGTGGGTAGTTTGATTAAATAAAATTCGCTCAGTTATAAGGTATAGTTCTGGTCTACCGATTTTATTACATAAATGTAAAAAAATGTGTATATTTTTTCTCACTACAAAACTATATTTACAAAACTATCTTTTTTTATTTTATTTGAAACAGATTGGATATTATCATCTGTGCTCTTTGATCTTTGTTTAGTGGGGTTGTGATGTACAACGAATTTACATTTCTAAATTCAGAAAAAAATATATCTAACAGAACTTGTATTAGCTACCTCTTTCTGTTAATGGCATCCCACTCTTTTGCTAAATAATACTCCTCCCAATGTCATGTTTTATTAAGATAATTTAGATTTTTGTTAGATGTACTTAAGAGTTGATAAGAAGAATTCGGATAATCAACACATATGCACGTATCTTGAGAGTTTGTTTACAAATTACCTGGAAAAAAGCTGATTTCAATTATGTAAACTTTCAAAGAAGGCATATATCTCTTGCAACAATTTATTTGCATATTGCAAACTTGGTAACAATCCGTGAATTAATAAAGTAGCATTTCAATTTAACTTCATTTGAATTCAGTTGCGCCAAAAATCTTTCTAGTGTTGTCTTATTCCTTATATTAATAACACAGTGGAGTAAATAACCTAAGAGTAGCAACATTGAACTACTTTAAAGATAACCGTAGGCGTAACATGAAATCTCTATAGTAACCAACTGTGTATACCATTGCCTGGTTAGCCTGAAGAAATAGAGAAGTTTTGAAATAATTCCTGATATTATGTAGTTTAATAATGATCGGATGTTATACAATGATTGAGTAGAGGCTAGGAAAGCCATTTAGGGTCTACAAAAATGGATATTGTATTTGAATATTTAAACCTGCCAGTTAAATGACAGTATTGATGCGTTTATTCGATATGACGGCGTCGTAACTTGCAGTCTGCTGCCTTGTCCAGGGCTAGTTCGTAGCTAGAGTAATTACTCTAATATGCAGTCAAGTCAATACCACGCCATCCCAATTGTTTGGTTTGCAATTCACGGCAGTCCCTCCAAATACAATGTTAAAGATATAAAACATTGTGATTAAGTAGGTATTATAGGATATGTAAATCATTATTAGAAAGTAAGTACGTTAACTCTAGTTGTTATGGGTAATTTATAATATATTATTATTATTATTGCGAGTCACATGTTACTTTGATTTTTCTGTATGATTTAAAATTGTTATGTAGTGTATTATATGTACGTTAAGAGCGGCAGTTGGGGTGCAATCACATGTTTATTTACGGACTAATCGATTTCAGAAAATCTTAACTCAATATAAAAACTATAAAATAATGGTGCTAATTAGTTCAATTTTGGGCAGTGCTTTTTTGTATTTTTTATTGATTCCAATGTAGTTATATGAAATGAACTTAAGTGACCATCATAAAAATTGACCTAACTGTAGTAAAGAATCGATTAATCCACGATTGAGTATGTATTATTAATAATGGCTTTGTAATGGAATCTTGGATGCATTAACACTTTGTAAAATTATTACTTTAACACTGTAAATATTAGAGAATTCGATATAAAGATATTACGCAGTTTTACATGCGTTTTACCGCGTTTATGTATACAAATATATAAAATAGGATTGTTAACTTGAATTATACCAAAAACAGGTCAGTAAAAATATCATATAATAAGTTCTGGAAATTAAAATTGCTGATATTTGATATGTATTTTGGAAATATTTTTAGTGTTTTTAATGTAAGGTGCGTAGCAATTAGATTAACTTTATGGCATAGTTCGATATTGTATGATTATTGTTTACAATGTTTTAGAAATAACCGAATGCTTGGTCGTTAAAAAAAATAATGAGTCCTGCTGTAAGATTTATGAGTAACTAAAACCATTAATTAAATATTTTTTAATAAGTTGAGTCCTCATTTAATGAAATAAATAGAGAACCTGTAAATTTTTAGAGAATCTAAACATCAGCACTGCCTTTTAAAGAGATGAGCAGTAATGCTAAAAGCCTGTCATATTACATGAAGTATTCATTAAGTGAAACTGTAACTAAATGGTTAGCTTGACCGTTTAGCCTATACATCATCTTAAAATAAAGGTAATGTAATAAACTTCTATTTCAATAGAAATCTTCCATGTTTGCGATTAAATTAATACATCGCCAGAGTTTATGCTCCCGCTCAGAAGTATTCATTAAGTGTAACTGTAACTAAATGGTAAGCTTGACCGTTTAGCCCATACATCATCTTAAAATAAAGGTAATGTAATAAACTTCTATTTCAATAGAAATCTTCCATGTTTGCGATTAAATTAATACATCGCCAGAGTTTATGCTCCCGCTCAGAAGCACTCTACACTTGATACAATAATATTGAAAATAATTATTTCTACATTGGCCAAGGTTTCTACGATGTTCAATTTATTGTACACATTGCTCAACTCTGTGTAAAAATGTTGTTCACGTCTAAATTAGTAAAATAAAACAAATGAGACTGATATACGTTCATTTTATTTAAATCCATCGTAATGTGTAACCGACCTTAAAACATGTTATGGAGTACCAAACATTTATTCACTTCTTTCTTTAAATAATAAAATTGAACATAATATCCAAATCTACAGTATCTAAAAAAACTTACTAAATTTACTTGAACTATACGGATACTAAAGAAAATTTATTACTAGCAAAAACATTCTCTCGGCAATCAATCGCCATCAGTTAATTATCATAATCATATTTTCAAACAAAAAATATAATAAAAGTGCATTTTTTAAGTTAAATGTTTGTCATAAATCGCTAATAAAAAATACCGGAGATCATATTATATGAACTCTTAACAAACCAGACAATACCTTTTGTTAAAGCGTGACCTCGTTATAGGCACAGTAGAGCGGCAACCCGCTTTAACCACTGGCGCTGTTATTGTTTAGCGCAAGAGTTCATAATACGCACTCTGAAGAAGAATCCTGCAACCACAGCGCTATTTCAGTAATATGCTTAAAATTAATTAAAAAATTCGCACATCTTTCGTAAAAGTAAACTTAAGAGTAGTAAGTTCATATATCAGTGTTAGGGTTCGGAGTATACTATTGGTATATATTAAATTATATGTTCAATTTATAAAATAAAGGAGTAGAGGAGGAGATTATAACAATCATTAATAAAAAATATACACTAAAGATTATTTAATTAGTTAGGTTGTTGTTCTTAGAAAATATAATAAGAACCTACCATTATTCTTTTCCTATTTTTACATATAGAAAAATAAGTAAGAAGGAGTTTATGATACATTCACACCTAAGTAATATTTCAACTTAACGTTAACATTTTGTAACTTTTTAAATATATGCTTTATCTACATGATAATGGCTACGTGCATTATCTCTGTAAGAAAGTTACTTAGAACAGGATTCTGTATAAAAATACTATCATACTTAAACGTTATATAAAACCCGATCTTTTTAATATAACAAAATTATAAAAGGCTAACTTTTTACGTACTTTCAGATTAATTAAAAATATAACTATATAAATAATGCTGTAACATTAAGAGCTAACAGTGTTAACAAAAGTGTAATTTCATTTACATTTTTTAAATAAACTGATAGTAGCAGCTTTTAAAGTAAGCTTATATTGTGATCAGTACGTACCCCAAGCACGAACAACCAGCGAGAAAGCATTCGTATCGCCATCGTAAAGATTTTAAGCAGCGCCCCTACTGGACGTAAGAACAAACTAGTTCCTGCCATGGAAACTTGACGATGGCGATACGAATACTTTCACGCTAGTTGTTCGTGCTTGGTGTACTGGATTATAAATCGCCCGTTTTTATTGCGAGTTCTTAGTATAATTAAATTTGAATGTTGTGATTGATTTGCAGAATTACTTTGATTTTATGACGTTTACTAAAAAATAAAAAAAACTTCGTAAGTATCCATTTAAGGTACATTCATACTGGAGATAAATCTCCGTACTCTTTAAAGTTGGCAAGGGGAGTTTTGAATAGATAATCGCATAAAGGTTTGCCCCTTTTCAGTGAACTAATTTTGTCCGCGAATAGTACCTATAATAATAATAATAAAGATTATCCCGCTTTATTAATGAAGGCAGATGAATCAAAAGGGCCGATTTTACTGTTTAATCAAAGCCTTCGAGTGCTTTTTGTGATATTCAGGATCAATGAAGAGTGATACCATTCGGTGTTACGTGTGTGGTTCAGGCATAGTTGGGGAAGAATGCATCGGCGTGTGTTGGCTCTTCGTATCGATAGGGCGCGCGGCCGATATCGTACGCTGTCTTCTTCTCCTTCGCCCTTGTGTTACTTGAGGATTCGTGTGGACTTCTCAGTTTATTGGTATCTACAATTTTCTGTAATAGAATAAGTCACTCATTCTTAAGCTTAATTTGCCTTAATGGCGGATGATTTAAGTTTTAGAGGTGTACATTGAATACAAGAGAAACATCGTCCTTACCGTGTTTTTGAGTTCCTCATATTTTTTTAAATAGCTGAACTATAATAGCTATTTAGGTATATACATATACCCTTACAATAAAATAGACCTTACGTTTTCAGAAGTTTTCAATCAAAAAGACATTACCCGTTTCAAACTATCAGTATAGTCGACAGGCTTGCTTGCCGGTAGTGGTCTTATCATCATCTTCGTTTTAGACAACGGAGAATTGGGGCCTTTGAAAGATATCCAATAAATCGATTGTCCTCTGTGTTCTTCTGATGACATCGTGTATCTTCCGTTGAGGTTACTAAAAAGAAACCATAGATTTAAATATTTTAATAAAATAAGTTACTAGCTATTCATATATATTAAACCAAAGTAATTGTATTGTGGAAATACGGTGCCATATCATGCTCTGAGAAAACATGAGATTGAGATACCTACTTACTACTAATTAGTTTTTATTATCCGTAAAGGAATCGGACCTGGCACTTTTCATTTTTTTATAGAAAATCATTATACTTACCAACTTTATTTACTGTTAAAATACTCAAACTGTGTTACTATATATACTCTATTCAAATGTTTTACGTGTTTTAAATCTTATGCTAAAATTGTTTATTATTACCTCTTGTCGCACTCCTTGTACCACCAAGCTCCGCCGTGTTCAGTTGCGCAGGCGCCGTCTTTCCATTCGTCATTGTCCATGTCCAAAGAAGAAAACTTTTGTCCTGCATGGTATGTTAAAGAATCCCCTGGCAAAATAATAAATGGTAAGTTAACCTACGATGTTATTGTCACAAAATCAGTAGTAAAAACTTAGTGTTAAAAGTTAGTTTCCAAAAATTTGACTAGGTACTTCTTCCTACTGGAATTTTCACCAACGAGCACCAGGGCCTAATTAAGAGTTCTGACCGCCGCATATTCATAGTAAGCTAATACTATGAATATGCGCCCCCCTGCCTTTCCTGTCCTACCGTTTCATTCACTTCAGGTGTAACTAATGTAAACTAAAATATTTTTTCATACATTTCGGAACAGGTCAAAACTGTTCCAAAAGGTGGAGAACACATTAAAATTAAGAGGAAAACTTTGGAAAAAAAAGGATTTGAGATCGATAAGGGTGTTCCAAGGGGGAAAACGGTTTAAAAAAAATCAAAAAAATTATTTTAACGCACGCATTTTCTTAAAATTACTATAACGGTGCTGTACTGAGACATATCTAAATATTTATAAGAAGAACTTGAGGGACTGACTGACTGACAATCGACGCACAGCCCAAACCGCTGGGTCTAGAGACTTCAAATTTGGCACGTATGTTCCTTATGAGGTCAAGGGATGCGCTAAGAAAGAATTTTTCAAAATTCACCCCCGGAAGGCGAGTTTGTATGAAAAATCTTATTGAGTTATAAGACTTCAAACTTGATACGAATACTTATCTAAACAAGTTATAAAGTTTTCCATTTTTGGTTTGCCTAATTAACCCCAAGGAGGGTGCCCAAGTTTTTATATAAATGAATTTTAACGCCTATTTTGATTAAATTAAAACGCAGTATTTATACTTTAAACCTGAAATGAAGAATAACATGTATCAGGATTCTTTGAAACTCTACCAGCTATCAAACTAAGAGGGTGAAAAATGGAAGTGAATTTTATTAGAGAGTATTTGACGTCCGGCCTTGATGAAATCGGTAAAAGGTTGAACAAATTTGGATAAAATTTGGCACACATAAATATAATTTATTAGCTGGATTGAGACAGGAAATTTTTTCCGAAGGAAAATGTTAGGTTTCTAAGGTATTCTCAAAAAACTAAAGTGAACGTGAACGTAATAGCAGACGGCCGCTAGTATAATAATATTTTTATTATATATGTCTCAGATCAGCTCTGCGCCACGCCCACCCCCTTGGTCCTGACACTAGCCTCAACCCTTATTAGCCTGGGGGTAAATCAGGGCCTGACGAGCACACAAATATTTTGTTGATAAGTTCGTGATAATATTAACGTACCTACTTAGGAGTCATATTTTTTATTTCCCTAAAGTTCTTTCATGTCTCCATCGTTAGTGTGAGTAGAATCCTAAATTTAAGGTAACTAATTATTGGATAGAAACAGTAGTATCACGTCTCACTATACATGCCGCGTGAATCACCAACCTAACTTAATGCTATTCTCCTACATCGTGGAAATCTGCCAACTTTACTGCAGGAGCACAACCGTAGACAATTTTGTCAATTGGATTCTGCTTTCGTTAAGGTAGGATACTTCTTCAAATATGTAGGTGCAAACCAAACATTGGTGTATTTACATGAGTTAATGATGGTATTTGGGTACAGCCTTCTCGTAAGGTGGATTATACTTCTTCTAATGGGTGAACCTTTTAGGTAACCTAAAGGTTTATTTGCGAGTGTTAAATGGGTAGTTTTCTGCACATTAATTCTTTACATACCCGCAGTTCCGAAATAGGTTCCCAGAGTGCTGATTCTATATCCTTCGTGTTCAGGGCCCACTGTGAAGACTGAGTAGCCGGCGTAAGCCTCTTGTCCGTGCTGCGTCTCCATCTCAATTCTTAACTCGTACAGCTTCTGATTTGTCAAGTAGTTCAGCTTCTCTAAGCCCAACCAAAATTCGCCTGCCAGATTGCCGAAGCCGTGCTTGTAGTCAGACCAGCCTTTGTAAAAATCTTGGGAACCGTCAAAGCGGTTTTGGATAACCTGGACCATTTAAGAAGCTTGTGAGGAAAACAGAAATTGTAGTACTTATTACATTGGAAAGTCATCAACAAATAATTTAGAGAATGCCTTTGTCAATAGTATAAATACTAATTTTACATGTTGGCTGTAAATTGCCATAAAAATTGCATGTTATTGTTCGGCAGAGTAAATAAATAGGTACTCACCGTCCAGCCTCCCCCAGATGTAATGAGGTCACAGAGTACGTAGAATGGGTCCATATCTTCTGGTTTAATTTTGTATATGCCTGAGGCATTGAAGCCCTGCATTTGAATCTCGCGACAATCTGTTGGGTAGCGCTCCGCACGATCAAATCTTCCCGATCTAATTGAAATAAAAGCAAATATTTTTTTTTTTATTTTAGGTTTTATTTATTCAAACCGAAATTTCGCAAAGCAATTTATAAATTTTATTTTAATCTGTGTTAATGTGGTATCAAAAACGTAGGTAAGACGTGTATTGTACCGATAACCGAAGTAGGTACAAGTTGTATAAATAAATGTTAAGAAAATCATTATTTTAAAGAAAACTTACTTGCAATCGCATTTTCTTGTCTTTTGCTCGTGTAACGTCCTACGGAATTCATTTATTAGGTTTAAAGCGTCTGCTGCCGCCGGCATCCCGCCCTCTGACCTGTTAAGCCATACAAAAAAACAACATTAATTCAAATAAAAAAACTATGGACTAGTAGAACAGTATAGCTTTGTGTAAGGTTCGCAGATGGCGCAGGTGGTTAGCCCGTTCGGAAGTCCATTGCCTGGAAGCGCGTTGTCTCTGATCTGCGCAAAAATTCGAAGTGAATAAAAGTTACTACATCCACAGATAGAACTCTTCTTTTGTTTACACAATTTTAACAATCCAAACATAAACTTAGCTTACTTTAATGCATTCATGCACGATGAATGACGATGATGTTGAGTAAATGTTAACGTCGTAGTGTTTATATTTTTTGAGCAGACATTTCAAAATTCGGTGATGAATATTGCTCCGTTTAAAAGGGAAGAAAATTATAGAGTTATTGAAGGTATTAACTTACTTGACAAAAGTCCTGGAGTATTGGCGGTTCTTCACTTCCGCTATAGTGTTATGTATCGACTCCACTCCAGCCAGCACTGTCTTGATGTTGCCTTCCATGATCGTCATCCGAGTATCTATATCACCGTGATACTCGTGGCCATCCACTGTAACAACGTAATTAAGAAGTTATAAAAATATCGAATTTTATGAAAATCCTGAAGGCAACTTTGTGAACCTATAAAATATGTCAAAGAATTTTATTGTTACAAAAAAGAGCAATATTTTTTTCAGAATTATATACAGTGAAGTTAGGTTACACTCAGCAAGCATATGTTTGGGCGATCATTATAACACTATTCTATTACAGTTTTACATTACATTTTTTTATATCAGAAAGATTCTGAGTTCTCGTCCTAGTTAAAAACGTTCAAATTCTACACTCAGAAATATCAATGATTGTTTTAAGTTTATGTTGTTATTTAAAGTAAGACAACACAACAACAAGCATTAAATTTAATTGATGTCTCTAAGTGCGGTCATTATTCCTGGTTACCAGTGTGCTCATTTCTCGGCGCCTTCTCCAAAAGAAACTTTACTTGATTCATTTGGCTCTTCAAAGTGTCCAAAGAGGATTCAAACTTATCAGGATTCTCAGTCCGTAGAACCTTAAGTATCTCCATAAGCTGTTTCAATATATTGTTGGTCTTCTCATGTACTTCAATGTCTAGTCTATTCAGTCTGAAGTCGATGCTGTCCACTTTTTTCAAATACTTCTCACTAGAAGTTATCGTCTCCATGAGCTTATCGATAACAACTTCGTTGTCTGACAGTGATGCAGACTGTACCATTCTGGTTACGTTTTCCCGTTTTCTTGTGGACAGCATAGCATCTGTCAGTTCATCTTCATATTCTTTTTTCCACAGCGACTTTTCAGGGTAATCGTCCTTTTTCCTAGCACGTTTGTCCCTCTGCACTTCACAGGATCCCAGCGACAGTATAATGAAAACTACCAGTTGTGCCGTGATCATGGCTATGTGCGACCTGTTTGGAATTCGCGAAACGACTGCTCCTCGTCTCCGGTCTCTGTATCAAAATTGAGTTTACTGTTGACGTGTCTATCAGCTAAACAAAAACAAACTCTGAAGAATGCCTGTGTAGTGAGTCTTCGACCGTGGTTTATTCGCACAGTTATTCACACACGACTGTTTACACAGCATCAGGTGTTAAATATTATTTTGTATACAAACAATAAGAGCGCGTGCCACAAGTTACTACGTTACTATAATGCAAACTATGAACGGAACGACGTTACTATCTATGCTATGTTAGTGTAAAACTTAAGTGGTATGCAATGTTTTTTCCATACTAGTTAGTTCTCGACTGCTTCCTCCTTGATTTTAATCACTTAAGAAATTATTTTCAGTGATAAAATATATTTTTTATTCATTCTCTGCTCCTTTGTCATCCTTTTTCGATAACTTGTGTTTCAAAGCAACTAGAAGCCCTCAAATATGCCAAAAATAAACAAATTTTTGTCACTACTGAAGACGTGTGTGGAGATTTAATAAGCGCTTACAAATAAGCAAAACATAGAAGCCTAGTTTATCTACCTACTTATTATTCTAGAGGTAAAATTTATTTTACATTATATCTAAGTTTAGAGGAGGAAATCGTCGAGAGCCAAACCTCGAATTATTTATTCGCAGTTTTCAGCGTTAGCTACTGTCCCCCTAGCACGAACCAATATCTAAATTAAGTATTCGAATTCGATAATGGTTCGTGCTAGGGGTACTGTACCCCTGTTAATATCGAATTCGTATCGTTTGTCATTGTCAAATGTGTACTGATTTTTAGTTCTTAAAAACTGGAAAAGTGGAAACTTGAACAGTAGCGACACAAAGTACGTAATGAGAACTAAAAATCAGTACACATCTGACAATGACATTTCGGACTCGAAAACGATACGAATTCGATATTGGTTCGTGCTAAGGGTACTGATGTCCCTATCGCCCGCTATTTGCCAATGTGCGACAGCAATAGGTTTTTAACCGACTTCAAAAAAGGAGGAGGTTCATTGTTCGACTGTTTTTTTTATGTATGTTCACCGATATCTCCGTCAATTGTGGACCGATTCCCAAAATTCTTTTTTCATTCAAAAGAGTGCACTTCCGAGGTGGTTCCATTGGAACCAAGTCAGGATCTGATGGTGGAATCCGGGAAAATCGAGGGAAGCCTTCAAATTTCAAAGGCACGCACGATGTTTTTTTATGCTTGTTCACCGATTTCTCCGTCAATTGTGTTATTGTTTACTTGGACGATGTAATTAACACTAAAATGGATGAAATAAAAAAAAATTCAACATAAAATAAAACCGACATCAAAATCGAAAATGGAACTAAAAAGTAAAAAATAATATCTGGTTCATGATTTGGAAGTCGGGGTTCAAGATTGAAACATTAAATAGATTTTCGTTTCTGATCGGTAATAATACGTCTTTAAATCTGGACCTTCCAAAACTCTACTCTTATTTACTAACGCTCTACTTCCAAAACATGAACCATTTTAATTGTTAGTTCTATTTTCGATTTTGAAGACGGTTTTATTTTTTGTTTAAAAACTTTTTCTAATTCCTATTTCTCAAAGGAGACCCGGCACTTTTCATAGAAAAAATGCTAAACTTGTATACAGTTGAATTTGGTCTCAAAATAAAGCCAAAATTATTTGCTGCATAAAACTACTTTTGCCTTATTTTTAGTGAATCGTGGAAAGAAGCTAATTAATGATTAATATTTTTTGATATAGAAACCGTTTTGATGAAAAACCTACGTATTTGACATTGACAGCTAGCTGCTGATGACAAATATTGCCAGACTACGGTACCCAATTATGAAACACAGATAAAAAAATTAAAAAAGTATACAACTTTGGCACAAAATGCCGGGTGTCCTTTGTCTCAGCTCGCGTCCGCTCTTAACAACGCTCGTCTTTGGTGTCTCATGCCTTGAAAATGACTAGCTTGGTCTATACCAATTACCAATCTATGCCTAATTACCAATCTATGCCTAATCTGGATTCAATGATCCAGAGTAAGTTGGTAAGTATCTACTCTAGAGTCGATATTGTTACGGGGTCCTAATCTTTCCACGATCTCACTTTTAATACATATTTGGGCAAGAGATTCACTTACATTACATTGATACCCTGTTAAAGTTAGACTTTAACAAGACAAAGTTCTCGATAGACTCCTAAATGAGTATCAATTGAAATGCATAATTATTTAACTTATTGTAAGGAGTGTCACTTATTGAGAGCCAAGATATTATTAAGTGACTGTCCTAGTGAATAGAGCCCATTTTATACTGTCCTAGTTTGTCAAACCGCAAACTAAAACCGTTTTTGAAACAATTTTACCAAAAATCACACCATCAACACCATCTATTATCACTATTGATAGTTACATTCTTTATGAAATCACATTTCCATAAATCTGCGTGACTGCAGATGTTATTACAATTTAAAGCTACAATTTTATTCGATACCTCCCCGTATTCCCGAGAAATGGTTTTGACAGACAGACAGGTAAACGGCCGTAACTTGCTTTTAAGTTAACCTAGAAGTTTGATTTTTATAGCTTATAGGGACCGTAGACCTGAGTACATGGGTAAATTTCAACTCGATATCTTCACGCGTTCTTGATAGACAGACAGACAACAAAGTTTTTTCCCTTTGAGGTACAGAAACAAAACCCTAAAAATTTATATTTTAATTTCTAGAGCGTTTATCAGTATGGAATACAAAGATTCTTATCTCTCATTAATTTTGAGAACTTCGAAGTTTCAAAGCATTTTGTTTCGTTTGGAAGGTACAATCGAAAAGGCCCGAAATTTCACATGATCACTGCTTACTTATCATCATAAAACAGGAAAAAAGAAGAATTAATAAATAGGAATGAAGTATTTAGGTTTCCATCGTAAAATGTGTTTTTTTTTGGAGCAAATGCTGGTGCATTCGTCGGGGAATCCAAGGAGGCAGCTGGAAATTGTTTACCACATGAGTAGAGTATGAAGTAAAACACACAGTTCGTTGTTTACTGCGGATCTTATACGAAGGCTTGGGGTCGCTTAAGAGCGGACGTGAGCAGAGACATTTGAGAAATAGATAAGTATTTGAAAAAACTATTGCTGTCACGCATTGGCAAATATCATGCGATAGGGACAATAGTACCCCTAGCACGAACCATTATCGAATTTGAATACTTTGCGAGTGCGAAATGTCAATGTCAAATTTTGTATGGAAATTTGAACAACAGCGCCAAAAAGTACGTAACGAGAACTAAAAATTAGTACTCATTTGACAATGACATTCCGGACTCGCAAACTACGAATTCGATATTGATTCGTGCTAAGGGTACAGTACCCCTTGCACGAACCATTATCGAATTCGAATAGTTTGCAAACCGAAATTTCAATGTCAAATTTTGTATGGAAACTTGAACAGCAGCGCCACAAAGTACGTAACGAGAACTAAAAATCAGTACACATTTGACAATGACATTTCGGACTCGCAATCGATACGAATTCGATATTTGTTTATACTGTAAAAATCAAACATGTACATACTGTATACCAATCCCAAAAACTAAGACTGAAAAGCGTCACTAATCAGTGGCGGACTAAGCTCGTCAGAGGCCCGGGGCGGCAAAATGAGGCCCCCCAGCTTTAAAAAAATGTAGTTTCTTAGTTTGTTTCGTTAAAATCCGGCGAGTGAAATTTAAATCCCAATTAAATTATTTCGGCTAAATAAACATACTTACATACCTACAATTTGGTAACTTTTTAATTGACTAGAAACGTTAGTTTATATTGACTAGAAACTACGGATTAGTTTTCTAAATTAAACGAAGAATTACTTACTTTTCCCAAATACTTAGTCAAGTCATTTACTTTTATACCGCAACAAAAATCAAAAGCACTATTACACTTTTTAATGAGGTTACTTTGAACGGATTTTAAATGAGGCTAATGTTTATTTTTCGACGTATATATAGTGAATGTTATTAAATGTAGGCGTACAAGAGTGAATTATTTGTACTTCATTCATTCAGGGGTACCTGAGGAAGTACCTGCTACAGAGACGGGAATTCCCCCCTCCGTATTGGACGCGTTCAGCGAAGTTAAAAGAATATTAGTACCGCGTAAAAAGTCTAGATGGCTGTAGTGTTTTGATCTTGATGAAATTATGTAGGTACTAAGCACATTTTAAAGTCTAGTTTAGGATGCGATCAGGGGAACGCGAAGGCATTTGGGGGCCCCCCAAGATCGGAGGCCCGGGGCGGGCCGCCCCTCCCGCCCCCCTGTTAGTCCGCCACTGTCATAATACTTATTAATCTAATTTCAATGGCTTGGATTTACCTGTTGCTTAACTGTGTCAAATACTTGATATGTAGTTATAATCGAGAAACACTAAACAAGTCCCCTCAATGTCATCATCATCCAATAGAACGATGATATAACAGGAACGAGTGCCATTCGGAATTCATGTTCCAATGACATACAGTAAAATTACTACGGAGCTCTGACGTGGCCGTTGACAATGAGCCTCATAATAAAGCTAAAAATTAGAGTCGCACAAGTAGCGATGGAGAGAGCTATGATCGGTGTTTCTGTACATGATCGCACCAGGAATGAGGAATTCCGTAGAAGAACTAGAACAACCGACATAGCTATGTACCCTCTCCCATTGCCTCGCACCGTGAAGTAAAGTGTCAGTAGACCCCTCACCAAGTGTACTGACGACATCAAGCGACTCAAGGGGACTCACTGGATGCTGAAAGCGCAGGATCATTGTATATGGAAATCCCTTGATGAGGCCTTACTCCAGCAGTGGAAGTTCAACGACTGATGATGACGATGACGGAATGAGATTATTAAATAAAGTTTTCTAAAAAAATGGACGCTTTTGAGCACATTTTTTTTTACTGTTAAGTTTATTGTTAAATTTTATTATGGCCTTTTTTATCAAGAAAATCCTTAGGACTTGATTGAAGATCATAGTTGAATGTCATATATTTAGGAAAAAGGTTTGACAATTATATGAATAATAGTAAGTAATTCAATAAATACTGCATTAAGCATTTACCGATTGTTATTTTAATAATATGACTATGTTGATCTCAGTAAGTACTAAGGGTTTCTAACATTTAAGATTAGTTTTTGATATGAATATTTAAAAAAATATGTTTTCTGTTGATTTTTCTAAAGAGACTTCTTTGATTATTGATGCACAATTATGCCATATTAATAATAAATGATTGAATAATGTAAACTGCCTTTTTTTCTAAGTACAGCAACCTTCTGTCATGTTATTATATTCCCCAGATGAAACAGTCCCCTGCCATAATTAGTTGGATAATTGCTAATAACTCGTAAAATACGTATAAATTCAGTGGGCCTCCTTATCTAACTAAAATAATTGCTGATTTCCTTCAAAATAAAATACGATTTTTACGCAAATGTTAAAAAAGAATACCAGGCCAGCATTTGTATGGGACCTGTACGAGTTTACAGAGAAATACCCATATATAAGTATATTTATATAGAAATACATATATTAAACATCCATGACTGGAGTACATATGCTCGTATTCATCACACAAACATCTGTCCCTACCGGGATTCGAACCCGGGACCTCTTGAGTCGCCGACACCTTGAAACCCGGCGTACAAACCACTCGGCCACGGAGGTCGTCGTTATTGGTTCGTGCTAGGGGTACTGTACCCGAATTCGAATAGTTTACGTGTCCGAAATGTCGATATGTGAATTCGATATTGGTTCGTCAAAGGGGTACTGTAGTAAACGCTAAAAATTGCGTATGCAAATTGCACAATTCGAGGTTTGGCTCTCGACAATTTCCTGCTCGAAAATTAGATATATGTAAAATAAATTTTAAAGAAGGAATAACATAACTAATAATTATATTCTATGCCTCTATGTTTTGCTTTTTTGTAAATGCTTATTAAATCTCCGCACTAATAATCTAATCTCCGTCTTTAATGGTGATAAATAAAATAGGTTAGGCATTTTTCGAGGGCTTCTAGTTTCTTTGAAACACAAAGTTATGGAAAAAGGAAGACATAGTAGCATAGAATGAGTGAAATTTTATTTTAATTATGATAATCAATTCGTTACTGATAAAAATCAAGGAGAAAACAGTCGAGAACGTTTGTATGAAAAAAGCATTGCCAGCCTTCCATTCATTAAAGGTCAATAGAAAGATCAATACTCGGTTTTTCTTCGCTGATAGCATCAGAATGCTGCTAGACCAACTGACATTTATTTTCAGTTGACCTTACAATAGCGAAGAGAACCGATGATTTGGTTGGACTAAAATATAGTTGGAACGGAAAGTTTCCCGAATAGACTATGCACTGGACTAAGCTTATTAATTAAAAAAACCTCTATCAGGTGGACCACAAATCTGGGGAAAGTCTATCAAATCTATGCTTATTTGAACAGTATAATTTTATAAGTTACAAACCTTTTATTGACATAATGTTAATTATACCTAGCTGTGTCCACTTTCAGCTTCAGTATTATTGATAACAAATATTTTAGACAATGGTGAGAATTTAGGTATTGTTCCGTATAAAAATGAAGCTGCGTGTGAAAAAGCCATTGTCGATTATAATGCTAAAAACATAACAGCGACACTCAGAGGAAACAATGAGCGCGGAGGACAGATGTCATATCTTCCTTTTCTACAAAAATAGGATAGATAGACATGGAAATTTCTAAATATTGTGTGACTAATAATTTGAGTCGTATTATTTTTACACAATATTGGTGTACAGATAGAGCCGAATACACGAGCTGATATGGAAGTGAGAAGTGATTTAAAAATCTAAAAAAGTAATTACAATGATACCGTGGCAATAATGGCCTGCGCAGAGTCCATAAATGTCCGTGAAGGACAAAAGTCCCTCGGTCGTGAAAAACATGTCCACCTCCGATGCAAGAAGTGCAAAAGAAAAGAAGAATCTTTAAATCTAAAGAAAATATAACTAGAAATAAATCCACGCGGACCAGGCAGCAGACGGGACGGGAAGTTAAAGACTTCCACACGGTGTGCGAACATTTATTGCCCGGAAATAAAGAGAAACGCACGTTATCGAAGCAAATATTCCGAGATTACGTTTCGATGTTATTAACATAAAGTTTAAGAAAATTTAATAGATACTGGGTCCATCCTTTATATCGTATCGAGCGCGCAAGGCAGACTTAGGCCCGTATTATAGAAAGATTCTCAGTGATTGATCTAGTCTTGAGCATAGTAAGAAAGGGATGTCGCTATAAATAGCACATAGCGATATCCCTTTCCAATCCGCCCCCCCGATCCTGAGGGACCTTCAGTCGCTCAGTCCCAAACCGATACGGATGCACATCAGAGTGCATCCGTCCTCTAAGCGCACTATGCAGTAGTATTTACTAAGGCAGCGCGGCATCATCCCCTTCTCCGGGGTTGATCGCATCAGATGAAGCCTGTAAGGCCCCTAAGGCCATAGGCATCCCCCACGGGTATGTTTTAGTCAGTAAGAGTCTGACATAACCCTATAGCCGGCTCATTCATGACAAATAAATCTCATTGGAGTGATGTGAGCAAAACACTACAGAACTACCTAGGTTTGTTCATTTATCAATAAGTGGCAGATGGATCGATTACTTGAAGCCGTTGATCTCTGCTGGATCTAACGTCATTTACACCCACTAATTAGCACAGTGGTCTGGGCCCATGTGGTGGGTCATGATGACCCATTCTCAAAGTCTATCCACGGGGCCAAAGTATGTGCCCTTTTTTTTATACGCAGGCAAAAAATACTATTTACAGACGACGGCGCCTTTGAGAGGCACACCGAACGGACCTCACACCTGGCTCCCGCAAGCCTTACGAGCACCAGCAGTGGCTGCCCACTGAGGACCCCTTAACCCTTACGGGCACTTTACGGCATAATACCCGCTAAAAAACCCTGCGAATACCCTCTAAGCTGCTTAGCGCGAAGCCGCGGGATCCCCGTTTAGGGATTCTTCCGCGTCAAGGCTTGTGCCCTAGTAGTGGGGACATTAATAGACTGATGATAAAGAAACTGAATGAAACAAAGTAGTAATAGACAGGTGAACAATAAATTAAAACTCATTTAGTTAGGCCATCAACTTACGTCGCATATTTGGATGAGTACTTTGCTTCACTATTGCAGTCCTGAGTTTATCTAAATCAGCTTTCATGGACCGTAGTGCTACTTCCATCACTTCTGACGGCGATGACTTCACCAGTTGCAGTATTTCCAATATATATTTTGCCAACGTGTTAGTCCTTTCATCAAATGAGATCTCCAAATGACGTAATCTGCGCTCCATAGTTTCCATAATTTTGTAATACTTCTCACTTGACACTAAGGACTCCACGAACTTTTCCACAATAGCATCTTGTTTCGGCTTCGTATTTGTGGTATGTGCACGCGATGCGTTTCTAGCGGAGTACAAATTTGTCCCGTCTTCTTCTTCGGAGGACCCTTGATTTCGATCGTCTTGATTCGATTTCAACTTTTTTTCTTGGGTTCTAGAGTGACTTCTGAAATTTTCTTTCTTTGAACAAACGTCCGCAATCAACAATAACAACACAATTTTTTGCGTAAGGCACATCATGGTGTACTTGCACTCACTGCCGCAACATAAGAGATAATGATCATTCCCCTACAATGTTTACAATGAGTTAAGTTATTATAACTTTTCATGTCAAGTGTCAATGTTATTTGAACCGTGATCTGTTTTTCAAACAATCAGACAGTATAATTCTATATGTAGTTAATTGATATTGTGAGAAAGTTATGAAAGTTTTTGGTCACTCGAACAGAAATTCAATACTTTTGATATTCGGATTTTAGTATCTCTCACGAAGTTAAAAGAGGTATGGCACAGTGGATTGCCCGCTCAAACTGGAACGCCCGCTTGAGGAAGCAACCACCACCTTGCAGAAGACCACAAGAAAATAATATTAACTTTTGGTAGTGTTGTGTTTCTGCTAGTGAGTAGGGTTCCAGGTACTTGACTCCAGTTACATTTAACATCAGGTGGGGTAGGGTAATTTGTTGCGCCTCGTACGTGGGTAACACTGAAAATGTATAGAACGGGCCAGTTAGAAACATTGCTAAACAAAACTTTTTTGAATTTCATTTTTAGATCTCTTTGGTAACCTAATGTTACATTCATTTGTCATTTGTTTTTGTGAATTGGCGGCAAATCTAAAAGTCTTGTTGCAAGTGAAAATGAACGTAACGCGAGTTTTTTTTCGGTCAATGATTTATTATGGCTTTCGTTGTGGGCTTACTCAACAACAGACTGGTATGTCAATAGCTGTTTGCCTGTTGTCTTGGAAAAAAATCGACAGCAGCGCCCTCGAAGCAAGATCCACGACATTGTCGTGGTGAAGGACCACGACAATTTCGAGATAATGAGTCATCCGCCATACAGTCCTGACCTGGCGCCCTGCGACTATGAACTAAAGATAAAATTCGAGATATTTGCTTCACGAGCCCTGAAGATGCGGTGAAAGCGTACGAAAATGCCATAGAAGAGACTCCTAAGGAAGAATGGGCTCACTGCTTTTCTCAGTGGAATCGTCCATCGAATGCGACGATGTGTAGAGAGCAACGGAGATTACTTTGAAAAACAATAAAAGTATTGGCAACTTTCAACATTAAGCCGTTTTTTATTTTCTAAACATTTTCAGTGTTATCCAGGTATAAAAAAGAAGTGGTTTTGTTTTTATAATAACTCCGTTTTACGATATTATTAGCTTCCGTTATTGACTGCGTCCGCGATTCGGTTTTTTAAATACCAGAGGAATGTAACATTTACCGAGATAAAAAGTATCCTTTGACTAAAGAATCAAGTAAACTCATTACATCAAAGTATCATTTATATAAATCCAGCTAATAAAATATAGCTGTGCCAAATTTCCGTTCCGCCGTTTCGGAGTGATTACAAGTAGATGCCTAACAACAAGATACTCAGAGAGCATAAAAGCATTCTCTATCAAATAAAAAATTAAAAAGAAAAGGAAAAATAAACCTTTATAATGATTATAATATAATCTTGATAATATTTCTACTAATATTATTAGTAGAATATGTTAAATATTTATTATTAGCGGTCGCCCGCGACTTCGTACGCTTGGAGTTAGAAATAAAGGTTCACTGTAGGGGTCGCAAACCGGGATACCGAATTTCGAAAATACCGGAATACCGGGTCAAATTTAGGTCTAATTTATACCGGTATTCATTTCACAAAAACCGGGATATTCGGTATATTCGGTTTTAGTAAAATAAATAAATTACAAATACAAATAGAAAAAGTTACTTGCCATTTAATTCAAAATACGCGCGCGCGCGAGTTCGTTCACCTTAAGACAAGACGAACTTCCCGCTCTCTGTCCCGCGCAATGATTAGCGAACGAGCCAATGTCGTGGCGCGAACGGTGCAAGTGAGTAAGTTTAACTCACTTCCCAGGCTGTAACACTAAAGACAACCAAGAATGGGATGATGAGATATCCGCGGTTCCGGATTTAGCTGACTGGACAACTGCACGCAAATCATTAAACTCAACAAATTAACTTGGGCCATCAAAAGCTTCCTCCCTTTTAAAGCAGCTGGACTGGATGGCATCTTTCCGGGCCTACTGCAATGGTGCGAAGAATCGATACTCGATCATCTACTGCGAATTTACACAGGATATCTTGCCTATCGGTACATACCTACTAAGTGAAGAGAGGTTAAAGTTATATTCATACCCAAACCAGGCAAAAGTGACTTCACGCAACCTAAAGCATTCAGACCGATAAGTCTCACATCATTCCTCCTAAAGGTGCTGGAGAGAATGTGTGACAGGAACTTGAGAGATGATGCTCTAAAGCGTGTACCACTTCATGCAATTCAACACGCCTACAGCATGGGCAAATCCACCGAATCCGCATTACACAACGTAATCAGACATAGTAGTAGTCCGAATAGAACATGGATTATCACCAAAACAATCAACGCTCGGAGTCTTCATCGACATTGAAGGCGCCTTTGATAAAACAAACTTTACCAGCATCAGCCAAGCACTTGTCAGACATGGAGTTGACCCCACGACTGCGGGGTGGATCAATAACATGCTAAAATACAGAGCAATACAAGTGACTGTGAACACCACGAAGAGAGCTGTAGTGGCACGGGGTTGCCCACTCTCCTCTCCCGTGGAACATTGTGGTTAACGAATTAATTTGCCAACTCAATCAACGCAACTACTACACAGTTGGCTATGCGGACGTCCTAGTTATCCTCATAAGCGGGCCATTCCAGAATGTGCTGTGCAACTTAATAAGTAACGCTCTCAAGATAGTCGAAGCCTGGTGTACTAAACCTGGTGTAAACTAAAACAGAGATGGTAATGTTCACAAAAAAATGTATCTTGGATACGGTTAAATTGCCCAAGTTATTTAATACCGAACTGTCTATGTCAAGCGAGGTCAAATATCTAGGCATAGTTCTTGATCATAAGCTAACATAGAACAGCCGTTCCCCGTAGGTGATAGCGTGATAATATTTATGTAGCCTATATGTTGACATGACTTCTTAATAATATTCGCGTCAAATTTTAAGTAAATCCACGCAGAACTTGTTGAGTTTATCCCGGACATACATACAAACAGACAAAAATTCTAAAAACTATATTTTTGGCTTCGGTATCGATAGCAGATCACACCCCAAGTTTTCTTTTAAAAAAATATTCAATGTACAGTTTTGACTTTCCTAGCATTTTATTAAATGTATAGATTATTCCGACAAATGACTCCACCCCACCTGAATTTAAGTGATGGTGGAGTCCAGTCGAATATAGCCGGTACAGCAGTTTTACCTACCACACCAGCCATCCTCACCTTGCATCCCGGTTTGTAGGAACTACTTTCTAGCTGGAATAAAATCGAAAGGAAAACGGAGAAATTCCTTCTGCGGGAATCTATACTTGCGTATTCTACTCAAGTAGGTTCTACTATCTACTAGTCTATCGGCGGTAGTGTTGCCTAAAATCGGTCTTGGTCTTGCAGTCTTGGTTTTGCATTTTCGCAAGACCAAGAGGAGTTCGGGTATACGCTTAGGGACTCCATGAGACACAATAAATGGTTATAAAAAAAAAATAGAAAATTGGACTGAAAGTATCAATCACATCTTGACTGTGAATTTTTGCGTAAAATAAATTAATAATTTGGACTTACTGAATGCTACAGATAAATATTGGAATATTTCGTAGCGGCCTTGCTCAACTTTTTTATTAAACTCAAAATTGCAAAGATCGATTTTCATAAAATGCGCGAAGCATTTTTTAACTAGTGAGTTGAGCACTCTTCTAGACAAATAAAGTGAAAAAAATAGAATATTATCTTTTCATTCAGTCGAACAGTTCGTAGCGGCCTCGGAATTTTGAAATGTCATTGATGAAAATGTAGAAATATAATCTTTTGCTTAACCAAAAAATTTTCATAAAATGCGCGAAGGATTTTTGAGCTAGTGGATTGAGCACTCTTCTAGACAAATAAAGTGAAAATAGTTATTTGTTCAACTAGAGAGGAAAGTTGGTTTTCCAAGCGAGTGCTAATTTTGAATCCCGAGTAAGCGAAGGATTCTAATAATTGAATCACGAGCGTTAGCGAGTGATTCTACATTAGAATCCTGAGCGTCGCGAGGGATTCAAAGGTACGAGATGGAAACAACTTTTCTCTCGCGTGACACATACAACTTTTCACCTTAGCAGCGAGAACATTATTAGAGATAAAAAGATACAATATGAATAAAAATGAAACCACATATATTTGCAAACAATAAGTATCTACTAAAATTTAAAATTGCAGTTATTAAAAGTTATATTTTGAAAATTTATAGTTTTATTAGGAAGTGATACCGTGGAGTTTGAGATTTGAGTTTGACTCGAGTTCGTTTCTATTTCTTTATTGGACTGTGACGAGACAATACTATTAGTAAACGTTGGCGACTCGGTGCGGCCTCTTACCGAATTTTCAATGATATTTGATTCTTTGGAAGTAGAGGGGCGCGGGTGTGCATAAGGATCAGGTTTAAAGTTTATGCTTTGCATTATGCGTTTACAGCTTTTAGACTTATTTTCGATCGAATCTTCAAAATATCCTTCCGCGACCGTGTTTGACTTCCAGCCGCCATGACGTTTTAATGTTGTGAGCTTGGCTCCTGAATCAGCCAAAAGCGTGGCCGAAGTTCGCCTAAAGCAATGTCCAGTGTAAAGGTGAGGCTCTTGTAATTTAAAAAAAAGCGGCTATTTGTTGTGGTGTCCCGCCTATTTTATTCGAACACTTGTCATTACGATATTGCAAAAATAACGATCTGTTTTCGTATTATCAGGTCGTAATGCCTTATATTTTTCACATATTCGTCGCGAATAACAAAGGACCTGTCAATGTTTGTCTTTGTGTTGGGTAGGTTGACTAATAGCAGTTCGTCAGAATGTTTTTCGATGGCATTAACAGTCAGATTTAACAGTTCGTTCGAGCGGCATGCTCCATTTATTCCAATAATGAGGATAACCTGTAATAAAAATATTATATAAGTAAAATGTTAGTAATTAAAATGTATGACAAACAAAACGTAGTATTTACCCACTTTCTTTACAAAAGTAACTCGTATTTTAGTAAATATTAGCGAAAATGGTTAGCGTACGTGCACATATATTACTAATTAAGTATAGACA